AATTGAAACATACCTACAACTAATAAAAAAAACTGTGCTTACCCTGTTTTATAAAACAAGCCCACGTATTTCTTCCCAAAAGCAATCAAGCCTTTGAAGCTTAAGAAATTCTCATGTGGTTTTCGTGTCTGAAAAGAAAACAGATATTAATAAAAATCATATATGGCGTGTATAACTGAGACGTAAACTAAGTTATCTGTCACAAACAATTTGGGTAAAATGTTGCAATCTCGTGATTAGACAAGAAGCGCAATTGTGACATTTTTTTCTTTTTTTTTTTTTTCTACCTAAGCTGATAGCCTTGAGAGGCTATTTCAGCGTATTTTTAACTAGTAGGTGAGCTCACGGCTCAAACCTGGCGAAGTTGCCAACACTGACCCTAGCAAGAGCAGTGCTTCGCAGAATCTACCATCGGATCGGAAACGCGATTCACTGAGAAGATCCGACGAGAAACTCAGTGGACTACTACCAGCCGAGAACAATTCCAGAACACAGATTCATAACTTCATTTTCTATGTTACAGATAGTAAATTTATTTGGTCAATTAGGAGGATGTGTTATGGTGCTAGGAAGGCTCAAAGTGGATATCGCTTGCGGCGTGCTGTTCTTCATAGTTGTATTACAGGTAAGCATACGCAGATTAAAAAAAAACGTGATAATAATATAGTTTATATTAAGTTTCTAGAATAGAGTTTGATTGTTTGATAAAAAACAATGAAAACTGTTACATAATTTTTATTATAACTAGCAATCTAACTTATTCGGTATTTAAAATTTCAATATAATGATTGTACTGTAATTTATATTAAATATTTCTTAACTATGACCGTAAAATAATGAGAAAATAATTAAAAATAAATTGTTGTATATGTAATAAGCTACCCTATAGCTTCTAAACAGTGAAATAATTTTTCAAATTGGTTCAGTAGTTTTGGAGCCTATTCAATACAAACAAACAAACAAACAAATCTTTCCTATTTATAATATTATTAGTATAGATTAAATGTGTTTTCAGACATTCGCGTACAGTATACTATGGGACGTACAGTTCCTTCTCCGCAATTTGGCATTGATCGGAGCGCTACTGCTGGTGTTGGCGGAGGCCCGAGCTGAAGGGCGCAGTCTGTTCGCGGGCGTGCCGTCGCTCGGAGAGAACAAACCGAAGACGTACTTGCAACTCGCCGGTCGCATCCTGCTGGCCTTCATGTTCATCACGCTCTTAAGATTTGAAATCTCATTCCTGCAGGTATGTTTTTGTATTTATAAAGCTTGCTTTTTTTTTAGCATATGAAGATGTTAAACCAACGTTTTATCAACCCGCAATCTAAAGCAAAGTTTGCGCGTCTCGCAAGGCCGTTGGCTTAGCGCATCAGCCATTGCAATAAATATTTCAAATGCAATCCTTCGTGTTATTGTGTTAGAAATCACTAGTCTCTTTCTTTGGTCTAGACTAAGATTTGTTTTTTAATAAAGAAATACATAACTGAAAGTACATAGTTACTTGTTGAACGTCAAAAAGAACTACCGCCAATTCACAGAAACCAGTTTCCGTTCTGAGAAGAACTGGCAAGAAACTCAGCGGGCATCTTTTTTTTTAAATTTTTTTTTTTTATAGTTAATCTGTAAGTCTGACTGCGTAGTATCTTACTGTAACATTTAAATATTAAAATGGTTGCCGTTTGTTTGGAAACCTTAGAACAGATTGATTGAACGAAAAAAAAAGGCGTTCTATTGTTGTAGAAAATATATTTTGTATACCAAAATTATGGAAATGATAATAGTCAATAGTTACTTGTGTCTCGAAAATGTATTTGAATAAATGGCGCATTAACGCGGAGAATTTACTTGTCGATGTTCAGTGAGCAGGGGAATATATTAATCGCCGCTGACGTGAAATTGTACACAATGATAATGAATATGTGACACAACCAACTACCCACATACGCCAAACACATTAAAAGTGATTTCAGTGAATTTAATTTTAACCCACGGTATTGATAAGAATAATATATTTTTTGTCGGTCAATAGGTTGATAATGTGTGAACAGATAAGTGTTATAAAATTATTGGTATGAGTTGAAACGGTTATAAATTTAAACGGGTCGTAATTGTGTTTATCGGTTTTCATCATTTTGCGCTCGGTAAACTGTTCTAAGCATTTAGAAAAAATTAAATCTTCGAATTAAATTGTACATCTGTCATTTCGCGTGTAACTTTTTAGCGATAGTAACAAAGAAGCGTAGTACCTACGAGTAATAATGGTCACCGATGTAAGAACATAGCAACAGTGCTTACATCCGTTATCTGTAATAAGAAGTTATGGTTATTTACTGAGACTTACTGAGAATGAAACACTGAAATACACAAAGAACTAGGGATACCTACCGTAATGCAAAAAAATATCCAAATTTAAACAAAAACACCCAAAAACTTAAAATTGGAAAAGCACCCAAATAATCTAGCTGCCGCCTTTAAAAGACAAAGTTACGGTAAGAGAGAAAAGTCAAGAGAAAAGATGTCATATAATGACAAAGCTTGAAATTTAGAGTAGATGGCTCGCTGGAGTCATGCTCTTACTGCTTACGTAATTAATTCCGACGCATCTGATATTTCTCCTCCTAATGCAGGAGGAAATAAGCGGTGAGTTTCCCCTTTGAAATAACACTGCCGTGCTTTTCGCTAGGTTGATGTCTATGCGCTATTTTCGGAACCACTGTCCGAGGGCTAAGGGTGCGCTCTGGAGTTTACTCGCGATTCGGGACTTATTTCTACTCGAATAGTAAACGAGGGACGAGGACCGAATGGTAAACAGTCGGCGTCGCCAAAACACGTCATTTTGGAACCGTCCGATCCACTAACATTACTTGTAGGTACCTCAAGCACCGGTCATCGTTCTTGTCGAACCCGTCACTTACGACGATGGGCTCGGCGAGTAAATTACACAGCCCACTAAGTTTCTAGTCGGATCTCAGTGGGTCGCGTTTCCGATCCGGTGGTAGATTCGGCGAAGCACTACTCATGTTAAGGCTAGTGTTAGCAACGTCGCCAGGTTTGAGCCCCGTGAGCTCACCTACACACTCGGTTACGCTGGCATAGCCTTGAGAGGCTACAAGCTTAGGTAGGAGAAAACAAAAGGTAACTAAACAACCTTAACAGAACACAAACTAAAGATATTTAAAATATATTTCTGTCAGCTTTTCGTATCGTTTTTACAGGTAGACAAATTAATTTGCAACAGAGCAGATACTATTGTTTCATTAGAATCATGTAGAAAAAGGTTATCGTCATTTAAATACTTGACTTGACTTTTATGCTATTAGGTGTTTGAAATTACGTAGAAATTAATATTACAATGTTATAGAAACAACTAACTCTGTCTCCCTGTTATGTTTTCTCATTGAATATAAAGAACCGATTTTGAGGTATTACAATTACGGTACCTACGGTTTGGATTTTGGGGAAAAATAAGACTTACCTTTCATCTCCCGCGATCTAATCCACCCGGGCGAAGTTGCGAGTGGAAAGCTATATTAATACCAAATATTTATATTACAGATCATACAAGATCTTCTCGGGAGCATCTTGATGATATTGGTGACGGTGGGCTACCGGACGAAGCTGTCTGCTCTGATGCTTGTCCTCGTACTGACAGTTCTCAATCTGTACCATAACGCGTGGTGGGCGGTGCCATCCTACAAACCGCTCAGAGACTTCCTCAAATATGACTTCTTCCAGGTATGAGTTATTTTGATTAGTGTCTATGGACTAATATTTCGCTTTTTCGAAGAAGCGTTCCGATGCTGTCTGTCTTGTCCGTTCTAAATGAAAGTCGTCGTGAAGATCACCATTCCTCACACACTACGGTACTTTGATGGCTATCCTGCAGAAGTGGGATTGGATGACTTGGAGAGTTAATGTACACAGTAAGGGCCGCGTGAGCGAACACTACACTTGCACTAGACAGCGGCTTGGCTCTGCCCCCGTCATTGCTAAAGTCCATGGGCGACGTTAACCAGTCACCATCAGTTGGGCCGTATGCTCGTCTGCCTACAAGGGCAATAAATAAAAAGAAAAAAACTTTTCTTATTTGTGCATTATAACGTGTTTTCGGAGACATTATGTGCACCTCACGACCCTCAATTTCACAATTAATTTCAAAATTTCAGACATTGTCAGTGATAGGAGGCCTGCTTATGATAGTCTACCTCGGGCCGGGCGGCGTCAGTATGGACGAACACAAGAAGAAATGGTAGAATTAAGTCAACGCAGACGGACTACATAAAAAATGGTGCAACATAAATCCATTCATACATTTCAGTACTCGTGTTTACTTACATCCGGAGTTCTGTTTGACTTCGGCTTAGTAGCCGGACGGACCGGTTCCAAATTATTCAAAAACATTCCCTCAATGTGATTTGTTCAGATGTCAAAAGTTTTAAATTCCTTTCGGTTAGGCATAGATTTATATCATTTGCTATACAATCTTATTATTGAAAAGAACCAATATTTTTAAAACGTTCCTGTATTTGATACACTTACAAAACTGTCTTTACCTTTGTTTATAGTAAAAGGTGATGATAATAAAATATAATTAATAAAATAACACTATATTTACTATTTTGTGTGCAGACCTTAAAGATAATTTGTTTTTTTTTTTATAAAATTGATATTTCGTCCCCATTCATGTTTGTTGTTACATAATCTACATTATGATAATTACTATTTTTTGGATTATTAAGTTTATTAGCAACCCTGACCATGCTGTCAATTTAAAAATCTGTAATTGTTACAGTTTTATTTTTATAAATACATTAATTAAAATAACGTGTCATCATTCACCTGAATTTACAAGATGTCAAACCACTTCAATAATTACCTCTACAATGATCAAACAGACAATACTTCTTACTTGAACTTAAACTTCTCCTATCTCCATTCCAGTTACAAGATTTATATGTAATCACATAGGGGAATTCATTATATGTAATTAATTATTTTATCTTCCTACCCCATTAGTGATATTAAAGGTTGACGTTCACTGAGAATTAATTTACGCCAATGTTGGTTGTGATTAAGAAACAAAATTCAATTTTTTTTAAGACATTTAATTCATTATTATTCAAGTGAGTTATATATCTCTGTGCACGTTCAATTTTGGTCGAATGCAAGTGTACGTAATTTGACTGAGTTTATTTGCTTCATTTGTTAAAAGTGTAAAGCTTCATTAGAAATTTCTTCTACCTAATAATTATAATGTAATGTTTTGTAAATATCTATTTTGTACTTATAGATTGCCATAATGGAGTCTTTTAACTTTCACTTCCCTCCACTGATTGTCTATGTATTTTCTATCATAATGACGGAATATATCTTCTGTGTAAATATTGACTAAAGCATGCCAACTGCCTACAGACAAATGAACTTTGTATGGTATGAAACGAGTTTATCTTATCCTTCTCGAAACTGTTTGCACTTTTAATTAGGAATGAAAAAAAAGATGCAATATTTTTGTATTTCTTATTATTATTATTATTAATTTAAGCTAGTATTTGGACACAGCCATACTAAGATCCTTGAGATATGTTCCGAATAAATTTTACATAATATCACATAATATTTCATTTGAACGGTGTTGTACATCATTTTGTAATCGTTTAAGTCAGACTTGAGTAGTAATATATTTTGTATAATTTTTAAAATAAAGTTGAATGTACTATGTAAATGTACCCATGTAGTCTCATTGTTCTTTGGCTTTTGCTCTGTGGTTTTCCTTATCATCTATATATTTAAAAACTTTATTAGCAAGGTGTCTGTATTTCTCTGCGTGTATGCTGTCTGGGAGGGCGTAAATCGCTGGCTTCCCGCTGTTTATACAATCTGACATATTTTGATCTACTTCAAAACTTTCAATAATCTCAAGACCCATATCTGCAGCAGATTTTTTGGTATCATTCCCAAAAATAAAATTTTTTGTTCCACATTGAGAACAAATGGCGTGCGACATGTTTTCGACAATACCTATAATAGGAACCTTTAATTTCTCGAACATATTTATGCCTCTTTTAGTTACTTGCAATGCGGCTGATTGGGGTGTTGTTACTACTATTGCTCCTGAAAACATAAAAATAAATATGTTTAACTTATTTTAGCATAATGCTTCTGAATAGTGTTAAGTACTCAACTTAATAAACTATTTTAAACTTTCTGTTAATTTCATCGAAATTTGTTTGTTGCAACAGGGCATTTCATAGTTTATGGGCAGAACAGAGATTGCATGCAAAACAATAAGTCAATTATTTTTAATAATTAATAATAATTTCATTATAATATATTTTATTATATGTATTAATTTTTTCGTTATTTATCATTTACTTCACTCATAATTTGCTTTAAATAGCTACAAATTCTTGTAACAGAATATTGCTTTCATATTAGAGCTGGTTTCCACATACTTCACACCATTTGGATTACTAATGATCCTCAGTGTGCAGATTGTTTTTGATTGAAACTGCATCAACACAAGACAACATGACTAGTTTTCTCTCTATCTAGTGGTATATACATAATTATTTTCCATAAAGAGGGTTCTGAAGTATTTCATGTGATCATGCAATTTCCTTTTTAGTTCGTACCACTCACCACCAGAGTTCAATCCTATCCTAAGCCTTATTCTACTCTCATTTTGAACCACTGCATTCATTCAGTTTGAAGCATACTCATTTTTACATTTGAGCTATTCTCTTGGGAACTCGAATGAGCTGTGACGAGCATGTCCTTCATTAAAAGTGACATAAATTTTCTCGGCTGGTAGTGTCTTTGTTGTGGCTCCTGGTACTATTGATATTGCTGAGTGATTGAGACTGTTGTCAAATTGTCTGACTACAAAAGCATGTTAAATCTAGTCAGAGTATACACAACCATACATATTTTAGCCTAAAATACGTTAATGTTGTATTTATTGGACATCGAGTCACCCTTAAGCACTCCCTTGAAGAACCTCTTTTATCCTATTACCTTATTAGTAAGAAGAGCATAATATGGGAACCACTTCTTTTTTTGACAACTTTTTTCTATTACACAAAAGAAAAAAAGCATCAGCAAAATTCTATGAACATACCATCTAAAGGCAAGTTTTGCGCAAGCGATAAATGTGTATCGCCTGTACCAGGCGGCGTATCTACAACGAGACAGTCAAGTGGACCCCACGCCACGTGTCGCGTCAGACGTTCCAGTGCTTGCATCACCATTAAGCCGCGCCACACTACAGCATTCTCGCCAGACACTAATAGACCCATTGACATACTGAAAATTTGAATTGCATTATTAATATTGAATATTACCAACTTAAGACTTCCTACCCTATGGGATTTTCCTTGCTTTTATTCCAGATAATGATAAGCACACTTCTATACAATCACGCGGAGACGGTGCACATCCCTGATTCACCTCATATCGCGGATATATTTTTCTTAAAATTATTTTTTTAATGGCTAGTCATTTCACACTGCTATGGATGATTGCTGATGAATTTGAAGTCGTCGTGGCCTAACGGATAAGACATCCGGTGCATTCGGGTTGAGCGATGCGCCTGTGTTCGAATCTCAGGCGGGTACCAATTTTTTTAATGAAATACGTACTCAACAAATGTTCACGATTGACTTCCACGGTGAAGGAATAACATCGTGTAATAAAAATGAAACCCGCAAAATTATAATTTGCGTAATTACTGGTGGTAGGACCTCTTGTGAGTCCGCGCGGGTGGGTACCACCACCCTGCTTATTTCTGCCGTGAAGCAGTAATGCGTTTCAGTTTGAAGGGAGGGGCAGCCGTTGTAACTATACTTGAGAACTTAGAACTTATATCTCAAGGTGGGTGGCGCATTTTACGTCGTAAATGTCTATGGACTCCAGTAACCACTTAACACCAGGTGGGCTGTGAGCTCATCCACTCATCTAGCAATAAAAAAAAAATTTTTTGACTGGATGGTGATTCATACATATGCAGACTCACAATATTCTTTACAGCACTTCATTCTTTGGATTATATCAAGAGAGTGTACAACTATAAACAGTTGTTATGAACTAAAGGACATGAATTCCACAGAACTCGCTCGCTCAAGCAATCAGACTGTGTTCAGATCCAGATCAGTAGACAGGCAATTTTACTACTAAAATACTTGGAATTTTACTTTAAAAACTACTGCAAAACTAGGTGGTATAAGGATCTTTTGTGTATAAGGTATAAGGACCTTGCCTTGTGGTATAAGGACCTTATGGGTATTTTGTTTTTTCTGTCTCTAAGGAGTAGGTGTGTTTTATGGATGTGTTAGCCCTTATACAATGAGACTCAGGCCTCTATGTATCAGGCTCAGTAGCATACACACAATAATGTCCATGGGCTTCAGTAATTCCTAAACATCAACAGCCACTAGTTTGGCTCATAATTTGGTTCACTCATATTTTCAATAAGAAAAATGTCTTGCAAAATATATAAAGATCAATTGCATCACAACTGAATCTTTAGAAACAATTAAAATAGGATATTTCATATTTTTACTGTGAAGCAGTAATGCGTTTTGGTTTAAAGGGCAGGGCAGCCATTGACTTTTAAAATAGACTTAGAACTTATATCTCGAGGTAGGTGGAGGCATTAACACCGTAGGTGTCTATGGGCTCCAGCAACCACTTAACACCAGGCGGGCTGTGGGCTCACCCTCCTAAGCAATAAAAAATGCTAAAAGGCTAGTATTTTAATATAAATAATTAATTACCATTTAACACCATAATTAAGTAAAGGTTCAATGAGATGATCGTCATTAAGCATTGGTTCTCCACTGATATTCATCATCAATGGTACTGAAGGACCAAACACATCAGCATCTAAGAGCCCTATTTCCTTGTCCGGTTCTATTACTTTCATAGCACATGCTAGGTTCACTGTAAAAAAAAAGTAAAATTGAACAATGCTAGACCTACCTATGCTTCTTACAGAATTTATGAAAAAGAAAATAACAATCTTTCTCTTTCTAATTTAGCATACTCACCAGCTGTGGTAGTTTTTCCAACACCTCCCTTCCCTGAAGCTACAAGTATGATACTCTTTACACCAGGTAGGGGTTTTTTCTCTGGTAACCCTTTGCTCATAACTTTAGCTCTATGTTCCATAATGTCACTTTTACTATGGTTAAATCTTACTGTTTGAAGGCATGATGCTATCTAGAATATAATGCAGTAATGCCAAAAAGTGTTGGATTGATAAGTTTTATAGAAACAAATCTATGTAGTCTTCAATTATTATATTTTTACTAAAACTTACAAAAATACTGTTAAAAAAGTGAGACCTTAGAAATCATGTCTGCAGGTGGGTGGAAGCATTTATGTTGTAGATGTTTATGGGCTCCAGTAACCACTTGACACCAGGTGGGCAGTGAGCTCATCCATCCTTAAAAGCTATTTAAAAAAAAGACAAGATTCTTTTTATTCAAATAATTCATCATAGGCCAGTCTACTGCCTGAAAGGTTGTAATTGATTACTGCAGATTGTAAACAATTCAAGAGGACAATCAAGCCAAGCAAGTAAGAACAGAGTTAAGATGGTATAGCGATGGATTTTATTTAATATTGATCTTTTTATACTTGGAAAAGCAACTGATTGTCCTAAGCCGAGTTTACTTGCACAATAATAAATTAATTAGTGTCATTTTATAATGTATATTTAGATTTCACTAATTTAGTAAGATATAAGTTGTCATGACGTGCGAGTTGTATTGTATTGTTGTATGGAAGTGAAGAAATATAGGAATGAAGAATATAACAATTCTATTCACGAAAAACAATAAATGCACAACAGACTTACCGTATTCATCCTGGTACTGAACACATAACTATTATAGAACCGGAGAAACCTTCGCTGTAGGGCCATGTTTTAGTTGGTATTTATTTTGATACAATAAAGATAAATACGTAAAAGGCGCTTAAAGTGGTCTTTTCTGGCTCCGAATATGTAGGCAACTTACAAAATTTTTATTTCTAAATTTAATGTTACCATAAATATCTTTTTTTGTACTATTTTTCCTTGTTAGGAAAGGCAAAGGGATATAAGCCCATACAGTATATTCACCATAAATAATATTACTATTTTTTAAGGGATTTTATAACCTGGTAACTAAGACCTTTAAGTCAAATCTTATTTTAATTTATAATTCTTAATTTTATGAAAAATGGATGAGTGAATTTATAAAGGACTTTTTGGCAAGAACGCGAGGAATGAAGTTGTGTGATTTGTTTTATTTTGTCTATTTAGTGTTTCTTCAGGTTTAAATGTGTAACAACGGTGGTTTATTAGCTGTTTAATATCTGTGAAAAGGCACAAATGTGGGAAAATGAAACAAAGCCGCTGGACATAACTTCTCGGGATCAAAAAGTCCACTGAAAAAATCTCAGTACCACCATTTTACTGAGATTATATTTCATCCCATATCATCTCATCTCATTTCTTTTAATTTCATCCCATATTATCATTTTTCATAAAAATAAGAATATAAATTAAAGTAAGACATGACTTAAAGATCTTAGATACCAGGTCGTAAAATCCATTGAAAAAAAAAAAACGAACATTAAATCTCCGAGAAATCTTTCAATGTCATTGTCATATCTCTGTCAATTTAATTTTAAGTTTCATTGTCAATTTTCTTGCGATATGTCGGGAAGCTTTTGCGACACATTTTCTAAATATATTAAAATTTCCAACGATACGAGTGAATAACGTTGTCACTAAAAATGGCCAATTGTTTGCGATCATTTTCGCACAAAATATTACCGATCAACGGGATAGCTACGACAAAAAACCATTCCAACCGTTTGACTAGAAAGATCCCGATGCGGACACAGTTTCTGGAAGATGTGAGTTTAACGAATTTACTACGTATGTACTGCCATATACTAGCCGACACCAAAGAGAAATGAATGCCGAACGTAATTAATCTGTTACATAACAGGAGAAAAATCGTGTCTTTAGGTTATATGTTATGTAGATTTTTAATACTTGACATTGAACTGATTAAAGTTGCAGTGAAAATATTGAACACGGCATTCACGTGTTTCCAGTACATTGCGCGTATAAGTCTCGAAAACGTCATAAAAACGTGATCTATTGAAAATTGAAAGGATACTGCACTGATTGTGTCTGTCAATATAAATTTCTCCAAACAATTTCTCTCATGTTGTTCAACATGTTTTTTTTTTTTCAGTTTTTACACCAGCGTCGAATTTCAAGTTGCCAAACCGCCTCAAAGTGTGTGTTAGAAAAAAATGTAGACAGCATTTACTTTAGTGACACTATTGGCAACATAGATTCTCCAGAGCTCTCAAAAAAGTTTGAAAACAGATACATTAATGATGGAATAGAAATGAAGACGCTCGGTATTACTTGCGATGATTATATTGAACAAAAGTTACCACACACGAATGAAGTACCAAACAGTAGAATTAGTGATATTGATCTAGGTAAATATGACAATGTAAGTATGCATTGTAAATGTGATATTATGTGTATTATTATACCTACCTAATTTGCAGTGCAGGGTAATTTTAGTACTGTTTGGTCCATAAACACTTGTTTACCATTTCCTTTTTTACAATTTTTAATTTGTTCTGCATATATAAAACATTATATATTTTGCAGGACCTTCAACCAACCTGCCTATCAGATTTTGAAAGGAATGCAGTAGCATATTGCAGTGGTTCGACTCCCACAGAGGCTCAGTCTACACCACAAGCTAACCCTGATGGGAAACCCAGTGAAGAACAACTCATGAAAGTTTTTCATGTGCTTTCTGAATCTGTAAGTAAGAAATCTTAGTGCTTTCCATAGTCAGACATAAATTAGATTAGTACATTATTTGGTGGTTTTAACTTACCGACTGGGACCGTGGGTAGGGTAGGTTGTGATTTAGCCCTGCCCCTGGAATTGCTGAAGTACATGCGTTACGGTAACCACTCACCATCAGATGGGCCGTGTAGTAGTGTGCCTACAAGGACAATTAAAAAAAACCTCTTGCTCCCACTTCAATATCACATTACATAACTAACCACACATATATTCAATTTTAGTTTGTGACATAGTACTCATCCATTTATCCTTCTATGAGCTCACTATTTCATTTAATAATAATGATGTCATTCTAGTATAAACATAGTTGTGTACAATCAAATGTAATTGTTTGTATGTATAATATAATATATATTAGTTAAATAATGTAAGATGATTTATCTCAGATTTTCAGGCTTAATCCAAATTGATGGATTTTTCTTGCTGAAAAATTACTATTTGCCCAATGATCACAAATTTATTACCTTAGGTATTATTTACAGTATAGTTTGTTTTGTTACGTTTATAGATTAAATTTCTAGTCATGCTAAAATAAATTATAATTTTATTTTACAGATGCCATTACTGTTTGTGAGACCACTGGATTATTCCATCTACAGTCCAAATTTAATTTTTGTCAACAATATTAGAGGCAAGACTACCGTGTAAGTATTCATTTGAAAAATGCTAGTACAGAACGGAAAAATGTGTGATTTCTGAGTGTCTGCACATTCTGCATATTAAATCTGCAGCACATAAAACAAACACTACTCTGAAGTGGCAACCTTTTTTTAAACCGTTATTAGTATAGATATAGGTTTACCATACCATAGACACTAATAATCTGATGTTAAGTGGTTACTAAGAGACTAGAAACCAAACCTAAACTTTTTTTTTTTTTTTTTTTTTATTGCTTAGATGGGTGGACGAGCTCACAGCCCACCTGTTGTTAAGTGGTTACTGGAGCCCATAGACATCTACAACGTAAATGCGCCACCCACCTTGAGATATAAGTTGTAAGGTCTCAGTATAGTTACAACGGCTGCCCCACCCTTCAAACCGAAACGCATTACTGCTTCACGGCAGAAATAGGCAGGGCGGTGGTACCTACCCGCGCGGATTCACAACAGGTCCTACCACCAGTATTGGTAGAATTGTACATTTAAAAACTAAATTAGAGAATTAACCGTCAGGGTTTCATTTGTTTTTTATTTTATTGCTTAGATGGGTGGACGAGTTCACCGCACACCTGGTGTTAAGTGGTTACTGGAGCCCAAAGACACCTACAACGAAAATGCGCCACCCACCTTGAGATATCAGTTCTAAGGTCTCAAGTATAGTTACCCATCCAGTATAGAGCCCACAGCCCACCTGTTGTTAAGTGGTTACTGGAGCCCATAGACATCTACAACGTAAATGCGCCACCCACCTTGAGATATAAGTTGTAAGGTCTCAGTATAGTTACAACGGCTGCCCCACCCTTCAAACCGAAACGCATTACTGCTTCACGGCAGAAATAGGCAGGGCGGTGGTACCTACCCGTGCGGACTCACAAGAGGTCCAACCACCAGTAAACCCGTGCGGACTCACAGAGGTCCTACCACCAGTAAATTTGAGAAAAAGTAAAAATAAAAAGACAAAGTTAGTCAATTCATACAAACAGTAAAGTGAAATTGCATTCTTATCATGTCGAGAATTTAAACTTTGACTTGACTCATGGCACAGAATTAAACAGTACTAGAGAACCTAATAGAAATCAATTATTGATATTTTTTTTTTTTTTTTTATTGCTTATATGGTTGGACGAGCTCACAGCCCAGCTGGTGTTAAGTGGTTACTGGAGCCCATAGACATCCACAATGTAAATGCGCCACCCACCTTGAGATATAAGTTCTAAGGTCTCAGTATAGTTCCAACGGCTACCCCACCCTTCAAACCGAAACACATTACTGCTTCACGGCAGAAATAGGCGGGGTGGTGGTACCTACCCGTGCGGACTCACAAGGGGTCCTACCACCAGTGATTAACGCAAATTATAATTTTGCGGGTTTGATTTTTATTACACGATGTTATTTCTTCACCGTGGAAGTCAATCGTGAACATTTGTTAAGTACGTATTTCATTAGAAAAATTGGTACCCGCCTGCGGGATTCGATCACCGGTGCATCACTACATACGAATGCACCGGACGTCTTATTCTTTAGGCCACGACGACTTTTTAAAACTTATATTTTTTATATACTTATTTTTTTTTTTACATTAACAGAGGGCTATTCCACTATGTGAAGCAAGTCGCCTTGCTTAGGACAGTAGGCCATCTGAAGTTTGCTTACGTAATTCTGGAAGTTTTAAAGATCACAGCGCACCCTGAAGACTCCTCAATCAAGTAAGTTTCCTAAAATTAATAATTAAAATATCAACATTTTAAAGAAAAGGCTTTCAAGTAGTACTTTACACCTATTAAGTAGATTCATGAATGTGAAGAATCAGCAAGAACCTCAAGGATTGCTGCTTAAAAAACCAGATTGAAATGTGGAGTAAAACCACAGTACCTCTTGTATTATGTCCATATACACAATGTCAATGCTACACTAAACTACAGCTATGAGGAACATTTGCACAATAAATGGCTGGTTAACTGTTTTGCGTCAGAAATAAGCAGGAGTGTACATGCTTGTGTAGGCTTAGATTCCGCCCTGCCAACCGTCTCACTAATTGTTTATTATTATTATTAACAGGATGCGATGGAGAATTAAGGGCATATCGGGATTGAAAGTGATGTTTATGTTTTGGAAATACAAACTATGGGACATGCAGCAAGTTTGGAAAGATCAAGAATTGTAAGGAGATTTGTTTATTTATTTGTATAAATAAATGTAATTACATTATATTATTACATTAGCCGATATAGCATATCGACCCGCTAACTTCAGTACACTCTCTATAAGTCCGTTTTTGAACTACCAATAACAATGGTATCTATCCACCATTGCTTATGGACATTGGGAAAGCCAGATACAGTCTCTGCTAACTGCTAAAAATTAGTTAAGTCGTAAAGTGAGTAAAAAGTCGTCGTGGCCTGCAGGATAGGACGTCCGGCGCATTCGTATCTGGCGATGTAACGGTGTTCGAATCCCGCAGGCGGGTACCAATTTAACAATGAAATACGTACTTAACAAATGTTCATGATTTCCTTCCACAGTGAAGGAATAACATCGTGTAATAAAAATCAAACCCGCCAAATTGTAATTTGCGTAATTACGGGTGGTAGGACCTCTTGTGGGTCCGCACGGGTAGGTACCACCACCCCGCCCATTTCTGCCGTGAAGCAGTTATGCGTTTCGGCTTGAAGGGTAGGGCAGCCGTTGTAACTATACTGAGACCTTAGAACTTATATCTTAAGGTCGGTGGCGCATTTACGTTGTAGATGTCTACGGGCTCCAGTAACCACTTAACACCAGGTGAGCTGTGAGCTCGTCCACCAACCTAAGCAATAAAAAAAAAGTTTGGTTGGAAAAATACATGTTTGGTAAAGTGACCCTAAATTATTGTTTGTGACCTTCTTAAATCGTTTTTGACATAAAAAAAATCAGAAAGAAACGTTACCGGTGGTGCTACCCCACATAACAAAAGGTTTCATTGCCAGTTGAGTCTCTGCATGCACTAGACTTTGAACAGCACTCATCGTACGACCATTACGAAAATTAGTAACATATCATCATTTGGTTCTCAGGTGGTATGATGGTTTCTCTACGTTCTACGTTGGAGGAGACGGCCTTATTGGAAAGCATGTGGTAGATAAAGTAAGTGTTATGAAATCAAGGTTTTGTAAGATATGGAATCACTAGTGGTGTTGCGAGATGTGACACGCACGGACTGGTAACTCTGTGGTCTATGCCGCGAACCGAATGTCCGTTTCGATTTGAACCGAGACTTAGAGCTCTTATCTCAAGTTCTATAACCGCTGATGGCTTCACACTTAGCTGCTGCAAGTACTAAAAAAAAAAAAAAATCATACTGTTAGAATAATGTGACCACTTTTTTACGTGTCAAAGCGGGTCGCCTGTGGAATTTCGTATACAAATAAATATATATATATAGGGTATGTCGGGGTAAGATGTAATATTTAAGTGCAAAATAAAAAATATTGTTTAAAAAATGATTTGACATAATTTAATATGGTATCTCACCCTCACTGACATCTAACTTCTTACACCAACTTACCCCTAAAATAAAATTTATAAATAATTTTGCAACAAAAAACTACTTTTCTACAGCAAAATTAGAATTACTTTAGTATGTATTTTGTAATACAACAAGGATTTGGGATAAGTTAGTATTCGGTAAGTTTCTAAAAAACACATGCACAATAGCCAAAGCTATGCACATTAATATGGTTTTGCTGAGTGCACGTACTATTCAGATTGCAATCCAGATTAGATCTAGATACTACTTGTACGATTTAGCTAATATGTACTGTTATGATTGTAATTTGTTTTGTGCATCAATAAAGGATAAAAAAAAAGATAAATGAAAGCGGGACATTTTTGTTCTCGTCGGGGACAGCGGGACGTATGGTCACGTTATGTTAGAACCGTGACAATTACGTTTTGCTCATTGTGGATTGTTTTTCTCAGGTGATGCCCGATCAGGACACGATAATCGATGATGCAGAGAAGGCTCCGATCGCCGCGAAACTGGCCCTACTGGTCGGTCTCCTCCCCAGGAACTACTTGTCGGACGTGTCGCCGTACTTCAGTTCATCGTCAGGCACCACGGACGCGCTAACGCAACCCTTCAAAGTATTAGAATAAAATAAATACAGATTATTTATTGTTTGGTTTTAAATGATGCGCTTGGTGAGAACTGAGGATGAAGACGGCCAATGGCTCTTGGGCTAATAAGATTATGACAATTTAGTTAAAACAGACTCACATGGTGTATTTTTTTTTTAAATGTAAACCTTTCGATTGTTGTAATAAAATCAAACTGACCTTGAGTAGGTATCAGTGCAGTGACTATGATTTATTTGCTTTGTCGATGCGTTCAATAAGTTTGTTAAACTTAAATAATAAAACTTTGATTTATGAATTCGAATCACTGGCAATGTTGTATCGCGTAACATATTTCTGATTCGTTCACAATGTAAAAATCAGAAACATTAACAGAGTTAATTAAATATATACGCGATAACACTTTAATTTTATAATAATAATATCATTTTAATATTATGTTATCGTTAAATTTATATGTTTAAAAAAAAATACCCTGTGAAGTTTCTATCAGGTTATAAATATGTAATTGAAAACTAAAAGTTCGCTGAATGTATGAAATAACTAAAGCACTATAGTATCAGTCGTTATAAAGGGTGTATAGTGAACGTAGCTGAGACTGTAATAAAATGCCGCTTATTCAGTGATTTAATGTAACTCGCAACGTGAGCCTGAATCAATCGCGCCTTCGCTTTTGTAGAATAGATAGCTGTTGTACAATATAACTGAGACTGCGACCTTGTTGGACGGTATTGTTGTGATGTCTAGGCTAGGCTCCGATCACTAACTAACACGAGTTGAATTGTGGGATCGTTTCCATATCTGAAAAGTACAAAAAAAATTAATTGGGTTTTATGAACTGACGCTCGCCGAAATAAGAAGTCTTGATAAGGTGTATCCCGCTCGTGATTTTTTTTGCAATCTAGTTACCTCGGACGCCATTAATGAAATGATTTTTTTTATCACAAATTCTGTAATGTTTACCGTGACGTGTCCTTATTACCACCCTGTATACTACGACATCATATTTCTCGGCATCGTGGGAGCCTAAGCATCTTTAAATCAGTACGAATAGAAATAAAAATAACAAATGATTGATTAATTTATTTAAAAAAATATGTAGCAAAATTTAAACAATAAAAAATGGAGTTAAAAAGCGTAGTGATATAAATATTCGATTTAACAAGTTATATTGTATTCGTTCATAGCTTTTGCAGTCTTAAACCGACATTATGTACCCAAAATAAGGTTTTGTAAAGTGTGGCCTGGTGATATTTAATATTATTTTGAACTGTGAATGCCTTTATTAGTTTGTATAGTAATGTTATCTATTATTAAATACTATAAATGTATGTGATTTTTTTATTCAGAGTTTGTTCATCCGTTTTATGCTATAAATAAATAAATAAAAGACACTAAATAATATTCATTTCCCTTCGACACTGTGACGGTAGCCGTCATAGGTATCCGATAAGTTCCTGAATCTAGCTAACGACGTTTTAAAGATAACACTTACTATACTTATACAAATTCCGAACAAAAACGTTCGAACCGTCGCGCCGAGCAATTTAACCCGCTCGGTGGAAGATCTACCCTTTGTGGTTAACCCTACGAATAAGTTTTATTATTCGTAGGGTTAGCCCCCAAAAACACAAGAGGAAAGTCTAACATAACGTTTCTAAAGACTTAATAAATCGTACATATAAAAACATTATTTTCTTAAATTAGTTATTAATCCTAATTCTTTAGGCAGTAGGTATATCAAATACATGTTAAGTTTATAATCTGTAGTATTTGATAAAAATTTCTTAAAGTTTTTTCAGTACACATATTGTTTTTTTGCTTTTTTACTTGAATAAATAAAAATAGTAAAAACTACAAAACAATGGAATAGCTTAGGGGACAACTTGAAAAGTGTCCATCTGTCCAAGGTTGGAAGAGTCACTACAATAGCGCTGGTGTAGGAAAGTGGAAATGATATTAATTATAGCAGTATTAAAGTGAAGTGTGGTAGCTTAAGGCGTTGATTTTAAAATCTTCCTCTTGCTACTATGACGCCACCTTTCACTTATTGGCTCCCTTTTACCGTACTTTTTTAATACACTGAGATGGTGTTTGTTACTTGTACCCTCCCGTATTTTTTTAATTTTAAGTGTATTTACTATCTATGGGTACAATTGCTTTTAAAGGTCTTTTTTTTTAACATCTTAGAGTATTTTTGATTTAATTAATAAAAACAATTATTTTACGTTAGTGGCTTTACATGAGAAGACTAGAGAGTTTTCATTCTTTATAATGCCTGACGCATATTGCACGTTGCCACGCCGCCGGTACAACATCCTTGTAAATTAAATGCTTTTCCTACATTTGGTACTAATTCTCGAATTCGGTGCTTATTATTTTTAGTGCTGTAAATGACTAAGCGCCGAAATAGAATAGTAGGAAGTATGTTACTATATGTAAGTGGTAAGCTAGTTAACACGCTAACGATCATGAGATAGTAGTTGCTCAAATTAAACGGGATGACAAGCATATTTCAAAACGCCACAATTACTTAGTAATGACGTTAATATATAAATTTTGCTGGTAGATTTTTATTATAATGTGCTAATCCATCATCTTGAATACATATTAAGTACCCATTTCTGTATAATTTGATTCTATGCGACTTAAGCACCGCCATAGTCATGTCGCTTCACACGATCAAACTGGACCTCTTTTCATTTAGTCGAAGAAAAGTTTAAAATCCATTTTGGAAAGACAATGAATTTTATCGAAATGGCCATGATCACCACAACTCACACGTGAACGCCCGTCATTTTATTTTGCTTTAAAACTTTAATCTGTAGTTTTTTTTCTTTCTGCCTATGCCAGTAACCATAAGGCCTTAGCCTAGTTTCACTGGACGCGTAAGCGAGCTCACGGGGCTCAGCCTGGCGATTTTTCCAACACTAGCTCTAGCAAGAGCAGTGCTTCGCAGAATTTACCGCCACATCAGAACTGCGACCCACTGAAAAGATTATACTACCTGGGCTTAGTCTGTGGATTTATCCAGACACTGCTTATGGAATCCCGAGCGGGATCGTCTACTTTTCTTTCGCACTCTTTAACCCAAGCCGGTTGGAGCATGATAAAACCATTAAGCTTCCGGCAGTTCTCAACATATTTTAACCCAAGCCGGTTGGAGTATGATAAAACCATTAAGCTTCCGGCAGTTCTCAACATACATTACAATTTTAAAACACGGATCACAAAGTGCTTTGCTTTAAGTATTTTTTTTGCACATAGCTACTGTAATTCTAGGGTATTATCTGTAAAGTGATTCAGCAAGTCTCGGATTTGACCTAAAGGTTGTTAATACCAGGTCATAAAATCCCAAAAAAAAGAAGCAAGTCTCCGAAATTTTGTCGGAGCGGCACAGATTATATGTACAGCTTTAGTGTCACAAAAATTATACCTATGTGTTATAAGATTACAAATAAACTGATGATACAATGTTCTCAATGTTGTTGTGAATTTAATACATTGTGAGAAATAAAAGAAAATAGTACATACCTATTACTTACTTACCGTCACCATAGAAACAAATTATTTTATACGCTATGTTACGAAAACGATAATGTAAATTCCGACATGTTAGTTAAAATTTAGCGTTATTAAAGAAAAACAATATATAGACCTATTTTAAAAATAACTCTAGTTATCCTAGAGTCCCAATAGTGAAATATCGTTTGATAATACGGAAAAGAAACTTGTAAGTGGAGACTTGTGCTGATTCATGTGTTCTCAAACCTTGGTAAGTTTATTATTTGTTATTCACCGCTAGACAAGTTAATTGATTAAACGGGGTCATTGATCGCACTATCAGCCTCATTACAAAACATCTTAAATCACTTTAATGTTTATATCAAGATCGGAGAATCCTAATTAATGTTTAATTGATAAAGGCACTGCAATGCACACTCATCCACTGAGTTTTTTTTTTTCACATGTAGAATGTAGATTGTGGAACAGTGCCAAGTCGGTCAGCGCACGGCTCGTACGTCTGTATTGTCATCTGGGACTTGGAAATACCCAAGTTTATTATTAATACAACCAATTCACAAGGAAAGTTAGCTATAGTGTAGATTCATTGTGTGAGTGAACATCTGATTGAAATCGTATTCTATTGTGTATTCTTGTAATTGAAATTCTGTGAGGATACAAGTTTGTGTTTTGTTTCATCTGAAGTGTTAGATATTAATAACTACTATCTTTATGTAAGTATTGGTGGAGCTAATCATTAAGATATGATTTATACCTAGGTAAATTTATTTTATTGTGTTTTCTTGTAATTGAAATTCTGTGAGGATATAAATTTGTGTTTTGTTTCATCTGAAGTGTTAGAGATATTAATAACTACTATCTTTATATAAGTATTGGTGGAGCTAATCATTAAGATATGATTTATATTACCTAGGTAAATTTATTTTAATAAAATCTGATAAAGTTACATAGTGTTTTTGATCATGGCTGGTCTTATGAATGAACCACTGGCAGTTTATTTATATTTCATTCACTGTTTATAGGGCCAATACTTAGTATGCCTTGGATTTATTAAAATGTGCTAGTTGCAATGTTAGAAATTGACATTGGACATACAATTTAAATTGAATGTTAATGTAAATTTTATTGAATATGTGACTCGTTCATTGTGTTAATGATAACCTTGATCATACTAAAAGAATAAATAGAATTCCAAAACATTACTGAAGAATACTAAATAACATTAAATAAATAAATAAACATCAGTCAATATTCTTATTTTTAGGTAATCTCCACATAAATTGGTGAAGCTTATCACTAAAGTTTGTTATCAAATGTGCTTTAACCAATAAAATATTTAATATAGATAAGGCAAAAACAGAAAAAATAATTTATCATGAAAGCTGAGTTACTCATCAATTAACTTGGAGCTAAGAACACAGTAACAAGTTAGTGACTCATTGTTTGTCAAATCTATGTTTTGTTAAATTTAAATAAAAAATCTTATATTGATTCACAGAATACATTAAAGCTTAAATGTATTTTCTTTTGCTGATTAGAAAAATATGCCTGAAGATGCCTATTGTTCCACATTTGAAAAATCAGAATATCTTTATTTCTGTAAAAAAATGCAGAAAATTTGTTACGAAACTCATGCAAAAGCCAAAAATTTTAAGCTATAATATTACTTTACGTTCTGTATCTTAGTAGCAGTCTTTGTGACATCAAAACTATTGTCCAAAGGCTTGAGAGATAACAATTGAAATATTCGGAATATTTTGATTTTTTTAATCATTACTTACTCCCGTCCAAAAAATCTCATTGCCATTGTCAGAAATAGCTATCTTAAAACTTAATGAAATTACAATTTACTTTATTTTAGTTATAAAAATACCCAAGAAGTGGCTAAATATAGGAGCTTCTGGAGAAGATCTTTGCCCTTAGACTTACACATATTAAAACTATAACTGCAAGTGATTACAATAGTAGTAGCTGCTGTTTTTAATTACAATAAATACAAACTAATTATCAGTATAAAAATCTATATTATTCTCATACATAATTTGTCAAAACATCACAATTCATTTCTGCACTGAATATTGTTTTACTTTCAAATTTCACACAAAAAAACACAATTCAGAGCACATAAATTAGGAATTAGGAATAAAACAGATAATGTTGACCAGATATAAATTTTATTGATTTAATAAAAATACACTGGTTCTACATAATATGTAATATACATATTCTAAAACATAATCCTGGGTTTTTGATGTTAACATTTGTTAACATCAAAAACGTGTATAAGATTTCTCTTACAACAGAGACTGTTTTAATATAATTATTTGAGTAACCTTCACTTTGAAATCATTGAAATAAACAATGTAAAACTAATATGGGAAACAGAAACTTGATTGAATGAAAATTGAATAATGGTAATTATGGTTGATTATCTATTGTCTTTTTTAAGTCCAGGGTTTGTTTTTTCATATATAATATGCTTTTGATATTAAGCTTTGATATTTGCTAAATTCATATTCTATTGTATAATTACAAAAGAATACTACTATTTCAAGGTGGGTGGCGCATTTACGTTGTGGATGTCTATGGGCTCCAGTAACCACTTAACAACAGGTGGGCTGTGAGCTCGTCCACCCATCTAAGCAATAAAAAAAAAAAATATCTTTATTCTTTTCTATTTTAAAATTAAAACTACTTTTACTGTGTAATCTTGTATTTTTTATTCTCATTATATTAGACATTTCTAATACTTTGCAGTTGTCGTAGATACAGATGACTGATATAGTCAGTAAAAAGTAAACTCTTTTGAACCATAAAAAATATAATGGCAATAAAAAATGTGAAATCAAACCGTAAAATTAGTTTTACTTCTTTCAATGAATTTGTGTTCATGTTTCGTTACCACTATACTTATATAGTAGATCTATTGGATGTTAACTGCTAGGGATTTTTAGTGGACTGATATTACAGCTCAATTGGTTGTGTTTGTGACCATAGTTCATAAACATCGACAATTAGGAGCGCTAATAAGTCGCTTCTTGTGTGACTTCTATGACTATCTAACACATTTATAAGAATGTGTCAAGTACAAAGCTTTTTTTAATAGTTTTTACAAGGCTTACAATGTACTGTAGGATAATATAGGATAAGATAGGAATGTACAATGTAGGACTGTACATACAATGGTATGTTGTGATTGCATTGGAGAGGACACTTTCATACTCATAACATGACTACATTAGAATGTTCATTTCTGACCCTTGCCTTTGAGAAACTTTGGGAATTGACTCTTAACAATTGTAAATGATGCACTGATCGATCAGCACTTGAGAAATCTTTTAAGTTATTCTTGGAAAAGTCACAAAAGGTATTGGTGGTGGGGGGCTTTAATGATGGTGGGGCGTCATTTGAATGGTAGGAGGACATTGACCTGTTTATTTTTGTCGCGAAATAGTGTAATTTGAATGGTAGGAGGATAAGTACCAAGTTTAGTGGTGGTAGGACCTCTCGAGAGTCCGCACGGGTGGGTACCAACACCCTGCCTATTTCTGCCGTGAAGCAGTAATGCGTTTCGGTTTGAAGGGCGGGGCAGCCGTTGTAACTATGCTTGAGACCTTAGAACTTATATCTCAAGGTGGGTGGCGCATTTACGTTGTGGATGTCTATGGGCTCCAGTAACCACTTAACATCAGGTGGGCTGTGAGCTCGTCCACCCATCTAAGCAATAAAACTTGTATATTTTTATCGCGAAATCTTGCAGTTTGAAGGCTGTTCCAATATTATACAAACCAATTTCGACCTCATGTCTCAGGGTGGGGGCCTCATTAACTTTGTGATGTCTTGTGTGTTCCGGCAACGAGATTTTACATGAAATATGCCATGAGCTCACTTACTCATCTAATGTCATAACAATAATAAAAGTTCGTTATCTTAATTTTCCTATTGGGTATTATTGACGTACTACCGTATATAATGTTACGTTCAACGAATACTGTTGAGAGTTCATTGACGTCCAAATCCTTGATAACTGACGTGTGGCCACATTTTTGTTATTCCCTAGCCTCGTTCCACACAATGTTTTCATAAACAATACGCAGCTGTGCCCCCGTGTTTACAAACTATCAGTATGCATTTAAGCACATCGAATAGGACATTATTGGAATTTCTGAAAGATGTAACACGTATCGTGCTGTGTCGTCTGTGCGTCCCGTGGAGCAGTTCGTATGTTTGGGGCCGAGTTTTTGAAGTGAAACTTCTTTAGGCGCGTTGAGAGTAAAATTTAACTCGCGACAGATTCGTTACGACGTGAGAGAAAAGATACAATTTATGAGGAGCGAGAGTGAGAAAATACACAGCGCGTTACGCAAACCACTCGACCGTGTAGAGAGGGAAAGAACAAAGCGAGCTAGGTCGTTTCTCTTATACACAGCATTCCCAAGCACAAGAGAAATTTGATTTAAGGATTAGAAATGAAGAAGAAAACCACAATACTACATACCGCAAAAGAAGTTTAACTTCTTTCACGTTCATCAAGTTGCACACGCACCATTTATTTTAATGCATTACATTGGCACGCGAGCTCATGGGTCAACTGGTATTGAATAGTTACCGCAGACCTGGTATTTTCGGGATTAAAACATAAATTTAGTCGCATCAATATTATATTACACAATAGTATCTTAGCCTTGAGGCGGTTTGAAGGTCAGCGTCTGACAAAAGCAATTTACTTAAATCTTGTTATAAAATAGTTTAAACAAAAGTTCCTTTGTATAACAACTACACTTTTTTTCTTTTTCTTTTAAAGCTTTTGAAGGTACGACTCGTTTAATCCCAATCGTTCTCGTTGGAAATCTATAGTCTATCGGCTAGACATTCTATTGCATTCGAGAAAAACCGTGAGAGTTAATTGATTCTATCAAACGACTCGTGCCAAAAACGATATCCCTGAAGCCGAACGCCATTATTGAAGACACGCACCATTATTGGTCACGGATCAACACCGCCGACATAGTACAAAAAATACATGTTAAAATATAGTAATGCACCTATATAAATATATTATAACAGGAAACATTGTTCAAATTTGATATATAAAATGGCGCGGCGCATTCTGTATCAGTGGTATTTATAAATTGTAACATTCGATTTGAGATCAGACGGGCATTCCGTACCAGTGGTATCTATAAGTTTTAACATCAGATAATATATATTTTTAGGTGCTGACAAAGACTGAATTAGTTTTAGAAGAGTGCGAGAAATCAAGACTGACAGATATGATGATGACATAATGTCTAAAGTACTGAGCGCCCTCGGTGGCGCTTTACCCGACGAGAGGCCGGTTCTATCTCTTCAGATCGTGGAGACAGTTGCCAAGTGCCCCGCCGGGTACTGGCCGGTCAGTCGGACTTACGACGAAGACTCCGACGCTGGACTACAGAGACAGAATGGACTGTTCGGGAAAAAGTCGAGTCACTACATCTGCCTCTCCAAGTCTGAGGGTGAGTAAACTAAAAATTAGAGATATGCCATTCGTCTTTTTTTTTTTATTGTATCATACGACGATGAACGGACGACCTCACAGCCCACCTGGTGTTAAGTAGTTCTTGGAGCTCATAGACATCTACAACGTAAATGGGCGTATAGTTACAACGGCTGCCCCACCCTTCAGACTGAAACGCATTACTGCTTCACGGCAGAAATAGGTAGGGTGGTGGTACCTACCCGTGCGGACGCACAAGAGATCTTACCACCAGTAAAATCGTCATCAAAACGAGAAATACAATTTTCCAAAAATAGGTAGTATTCAGGGGTAAAGCTTTAGACATTTCTCCTTGTTCATCACTTTGGTCACATTACACGTGATGTTAACAAACGTGCACATTTTTTTGTTGTGTTTTTCTCACTGTAGTTGGAATGAAAACTTTTGTCACATCAACGGTTCACACGACGTGATTCTTAAAATTTAATGTTATCTGATTTTAATTCATAAATATAATACATGACAAAACAATAGAATTCGCTGTGTCTGTAAATTGAAGAAAAATAATAAGAAAGTGGATAACTAAGGAGGGCGTAATAGAACATAAATTAAGTTGTTTTTTAATTATTCATTTTTTTAATACGTCTCCGGAACGTCTCGTGTAGTTATCACAGGTGAACAGAATTTAATTTGGAGCATAAAATTTCATACTAATCGGATGTTGAAATAAAATCATCTACAAGAATTTTAGAACTAGTCTTTATACTGTTAGATTTTAAATAGTAAACAATATTATTAATAAGAAAGTAATTATGTCTATTTGTTTCGTTTCCGCGCTTAAATCATTAAACCGATTTCAAAAAAATTCGATATAGAAATAGTTTGAACCACGGGAAGAATATAAGCTGCCTTTGATAGCACTGCTAAGCATGGGATTAAGCACGTAATGCAGTGTGTAGCCACGCGGGCCAAGCAGCGGGATGAAAGTCAGTACATATAGTGAATAATATCGTACATAATATTAAATCGCGCTCAACGAAACTCCGTTTTAAATTAAATTTCTAATTAATATTATTCAAGACTAGCTGACCCGGCAGACTTCATAGTGCCTCATTCGATAAATAAAAGACCTAATCTTTTGTTAAAAATAAACTTAAAACAAACGAAAGGAATCCGTCCGACGGTGGACACATCAAAGGAAAAACAAAATTGTTATATTTATTTAATTCGAAGCATTTTCATATTTATCTAACTTTGAAACCTTCTCTGGACTTCCACAAATAATTCAAGACCAAAATTAGCCAAATCGGTCCAGCCGTTATCAAGTTTTAGCGAGACTAACGAACAGCAAATGATTTTTATATATACAGATAGATTAATTAGCTTAGCGCGCCCAAATTCATAAAGGGGATTGCCCACTCTCCATAGTGTGCTAGGCCCAAGATGGACATCAAATATTACTATAAAAATGTACTGATTCAAATTCTTAAATGTATTGGATATCTAAAAAATATATTGAAATTGACGCCACTATTATAAAAAATATAATAAAAATAAAAACTCGTTTTGAGGTTAATTTTCTATATAAATAAGTGTCGGATTGTGAGATACTTCAAGAACTTTTCTTTTCTTAATGTTTAAGATGTTCCTAATGTATTTTTATCCAATAGGGTATAAAAACACACTTAATTCTTTAAATATCTATATTTTCTTCATCTTCATACACAATTAGTATCATCTAAAAATAGCAAAGGAGAGCATATACACGGTTTTAAATCTCGGTCAGGGTAAAACCACAATTCACACAATGTTTTTTAGTCGTAGTATGAAACGTTATTGATAAAAGTAAAATAAATCGAAGAAAAATCAAAACACATCCATTTTGTACGCAAGCACAACACCACAAGCAGCAAGCGAAGTATCAGTCAGTCAGATTAAATTCAGTGTTGTCAGTATAAAGAAAAATAATTACATGAAATTCATATATCGATTATTTTTTTAAATAACCGATAATTGATTTATATCTTAATCTTTTTTTTACGAGTACACATTATTTTTTATGTTTTTGTTTTAGTTGTACATATTTAAATAACAATACTAGTAAAGTTTTTTTTATTGCTTAGATGGGTGGGCGAGCTCACAGCCACCCTGGTGTTGCTAAGTGGTTACTCGAGCCCACATACATCTACAACGTAAATGCGCCACCCACCTTGAGATATAAGTTCTAAGGTCTCAAGTATAGTTACAAGTTAAAGTCCAATGGGTATGTCTTCGATGTTATTTTATGTGCATAAAATCCATTAAAATCGTTTGATTAATGATAATACTTAAAATGATTTATTTATATGTTTTATTTATATACTCAAAATATTTACTTCATACGTAAAAGGATTTGAAGCTGGCAATATTTTTCCCGCAAAAATAAAAATCCTTGTTTTATCAATAGAGTTACTTTTTTTAAACTACTTATTGTAAACTATAGTGGCGCTTATTTGCAAGAAAGTAAATGCATATTTATTTATGACAAAATTAATGCACTAAGTATTTTTTCTATAATCTATTGTCCGCTTTGGGCCTAAAATGGGCCATCCCCTTTTAGCTCGGAATATGATCACAATGCGTGCGACTCGGTCAGTCATCATAAACACTTTGGCCACTCAAAATTTATATGTTTTCTATCGCTCTCGTGACTCAGCTATGCCTTACTTAATTGGGTCGGTCAAATACAAGACTAAAAACCGCAGAGGAAATAATGATATACATTGCTTATTTGTTTGGGAACCAAACAATACAATATATCCATTTAATATGTTAACCTCTTGAGCGCGATCCGTCGATAGATCGACTCTTTATTTATGCGTTTATAGTGCGGAGCGTCGGAATACCGACCATTGCACAGTTTGATTATAGATTATTAGGTATCGACCTGTACATGAACGTGTCTTAGCGCGCGCATGTTTAATCTTTTTATTAAGTTAATAATATTTATAAAAAACCGTAGACAGCGGCTTGGCTCTGCTCCTGGCATTGCTGACGTCCATGAGTGACGGTAACCACTCACCATCAGGTGGGCTGTGTGCTCGCTCGTCTGCCTACACTGGCAATTAAAAAAAACCATTATTATTATTTTGCTACGTGCAGTTTTTTTTTTTTTTTTTATAAGGTACTTTTTTCGTCAGTCCTTTAGCAATTTCTGTAAAATATGTGAAAATAAGCACTTATAGGGTTAAATGTAGGTACTGCAAAAAGTAAATAACTTTTCAGTTCAGTATTAACAAATGAGTGGACAGAAAATGTCCACTTCGATAAAGCGGCACGACACGAGAACCCTCTCATCGTGGCCGCCGGTAACTACATTCCCGATCCTGCGGAGAGAATGGAAAGCAATCGATGTCGCCCAAATACGTCATCTCGGATCCTCTCGATCCACTAACGGTGCTTCTAGGTTCTTCAAGCACCGGTCACCGTTCTAGTCGAACCCGTCGCTTGCAACGAAGGGCTCGACGTCAGGTTTGAGCCCCGTGAGCTCACCTATTACTTAAGGTTACGCTGGAATAGCCTCTCAAGGCTACCAGCTTAGGTAGGAATAAAAAAAAAATGTTAATAAAAAAAAAAACTAACAAATCATGCCTATAAATGATGTTAAAGTATTCCAAAACTTATATTTTGGTGTCCGGGGAGTCGATGCATGTTTTCTTATGATTATCTTATGTTTTTTTAACATTATAGAGGAAAAGTGCTAACATGAGGAAAGTTTAATATCGAAAGATTTAAAAAAAACAAGTTCTGATTGAAAAAAAAAGACACATCATCCACGTGTTTTCGCGTCTAAATTAAACATTTCGTCATTGAAGTCTTAGAGGATGACGATCGGCAAATAGAGTCAGCGCGATAATAAAGTGCTAATGAATAATGTGAAACTACATGTATGTACGTGTACCCACTGTGTATTATTATTCAGCGAATTTATTTTGTGTGTAGAAAGCTTATTGCAATCTTCACGAATCGACCCTCAGATTCGATATTATCAATTGACTTGAACCGAAGTTTCTCTGAATCTCTCTGCCATCAAGCAAGACGACTTGAAAATTTATTAATCTTATTAGCGTTTTATGTACATTCGTAAAGAATTTGGAAAAAACAATCAAAGGTTCATCGCAGTAATTTCCTGTAAATCTTGTATTAATCGGTATATCGTAATAGCTTATTTAAGTGCCGGTAGATCGTAACTTGAGATCCTGTTTCTTATTACACATTACCCTGATTATATCTGTAGCGAAGCAGTAATACGTTCAGATTTCATAATTGACTTAGACCCCATGTCTGGGCTGGATGGGTGGCGTTAACGTTGTTATTTTCAACAAGAGGCATTGTGGCTTAATTGGTCCACAATAAAGAAATTTAAAATCGAGCCTCAAGAGGTTCTCAAACGAGAAAATCCTTGCGCACCAATCAGAGTCATTAACCATCAAACCAATAAAACGATTCGTTAGATCTTTAGTTTCTCCCTAAAACAATTACTAATCATTTTTCCAAATCTGGACGCCGCCAACGCTAACTCATGCTTGATCGAAAGTAATACAGTTCAAAACGTTTATTTTTATTTCATAGTTGTGTGGACCTGGTGTTAAGTGGTTACCGGAGTCCATAGACATCTTCAACGAAAATGCCGCCACCCACCTTGAGATATGAGTTCTAAAGTCTCAGTATAGTTACAACGGCTGCTCCACCCTTCAAACCTAAATGCATTACTGCATCACGGCAGAAATAGGCAGGGTGGTGGTACCTACCCGCGCGGACTCACAAGAGATCGTACCACCAGTTTTAAAGTTACGAAATAAAATTTGTTTTCCACTTTTGTTCACTGCCCTTGCATTGGTTACAATATCAAAGTCGTATCTAGACGTTTACGAACGATTATATAAATGCTCTGTGATGTGGAACGGTTTGAATTAGTGAGTGACTGCACAGTACGCCTACACTTGAACACAGTACAATACCCGCTGCTAGCTAATATAAGGTGTGACAGTATAACATCGGGGATCGGTAATAATTAAGGTCAAATACATTTTAGTCAACCAATATTTTAGTATTTTATTCGGTTTTAGCGTGGCATAGTTTAGTCACGCATCTTTTTTAGTTAATATTTTGTTATTTCTTACGTTTTACGCGATTTTCGAAGATTATGCATATGCATTGCGTGCGATTGGTAATGCGTAAAAGTAATGCTGACTATATACATAGGAACTATGTCAATCGAATTCTGCTCTTTTATTTTCGTACCTATTGTACTGACCTCATAGGGGACTAGCTTCACCGAACAAGTATGTTAGCTCATGGGGCTCTAATCTGTTGCTAACACTAGCCCTAGCAAGAGCAGGGCTTCGCAGAATCTACCACCGGATCGGAAACGCGATCCACTGAGAAGATCCGGCGAGAAACTCAGTGGGCAGTGTTTATGGGTTAGTTTACTCGCCGAACCCTTCGGTGACCAATATTTGAGGTACCTAAAAACACCGTTACTGGATTAGGGGGATCCGAAATGTGAATTCTGCTCAAGTTCTATATAAATTACAGACCTAATATAACGTAATACTTATAAAAAAGTATATTCTAAGTCTTATAGAAAAAAATAACTTACTTTGTGTTTTGTATCAAATGTGTATCATTACATTTGTGATTTTATTGTTGGTTAATTGATAGATACCCAATTGTCTAATAAATACGCGACGTACTCATAAACAATAAACACACATGCACGCGCGCACACACACATGGACACACGCGTGCACGCCACTTCTGCGTACGAATCTATATATTAATACGTGAAGCAAAAACTTTGTATCCATTTTTACGAAAATTGCGCGGACGGAGGAGTATGAAATTTTCCACACTTATAGAGAATATGAAGAAGAAGTGCACAATGTTAATTTTTTTTTTAAATAATGCATAAAAGATACATTTAATCAATAAAGAAAACATTACACACACTACATACCATGTATTTGACGCACACACGCATGCATACTATTTATTGTCAAACTTTTGTTCTTGACGTCTGTTGTCAAATTGAGAATAGATTAAATATTGTTTGTCTTTGTTAATATTTTTTATAGTGTAGTCTTGGCGAAATTTGTGATTATAGAAGTATAAAATACAANTTATTGTCAAACTTTTGTTCTTGACGTCTGTTGTCAAATTGAGAATAGATTAAATATTGTTTGTCTTTGTTAATATTTTTTATAGTGTAGTCTTGGCGAAATTTGTGATTATAGAAGTATAAAATACAATCATAATAGTGTACAAACTTACAATTCCAATTAATTATAGTCGAATTTCGACTACTGCGGGACCTCTAGTATATATAACAATGTGTCTGAATGTCAGTAAAGAACACCAAATAGCCTTTCACCCCTCGATAGTTATTATTAAAAGTATCTCTTCTACGAATATATTCCCGTTCTCTTAATTGTTAAGCTATGTTTTGACGGGGCAGCCGTTGTAATTATACTGAGACCTTAGAACTTATATCTCAAGGTGGGTAGCGCATTTACGTTGTAGATGTCTATGGGCTCTAGTAACCATTTAATACCAGGTGGGCTGTGAGCTCGTCCACCCATCTAAGCAATAAAAAATAAAAATAAAAATGATAATCATTTCATTTTATAGATGATGTTGTAAGTTGGTCATCAGTCCTCCCGCTACCGTCAGTGACGCACTCCCATTTCCTTTACGAAGTGGCTCATCTTTTAATTAACGGAGGCAGTGACCCGGGCTCCGTCTAACAGAATGCATTCCTTAATAATGAAACAGTTGGGCATTGTGTGTTCTGATAATGTGTCGGTGCACCGATCTATGTAACAACATATAAGTGGGTTCAAACGCTGATGATTACGATAAATGAAAGAAGTTTGAAGTCGTCCGTGCCTAGCTGCCTTGAGACGCGTGATGCGACTGCCAAGATTCTAATTTAAGTGGCTTTTATCAATTTTTCTAAATAAATATTTACTTAAGGTCTGTTTGCAAATGACTAAACCAATGGAGGAATAAGATTTTTTGCTATTTATGAACGGAATGAGTCACGACCTACTTAATATTGGGTGGTTAGCATAGTTCCAGACAATAATGTCATCGTTGTCACAGCTCACTGTGAGTTTCTCGTCGGATCTTCTCAGTGGGTACCAACTCCGATCCGATGGTAGATTGTGCGAAGCACTGTACCTTACTAGGGCTCGTGTCAGAAAATTCTCTCAGGTTGGAGCTGTGAGCTCACCTATCCGTCTGCGTGAAGCTGGAATAGTCCTTTAGGCTACTAGCGAATAGGTAGAGGGAAAAAGTCACCGTTGGTTTTCGATTACAAGGTCCCGATCTCGGTATTGCATTACGGTTCCCATTCAAACCAGCAGCATAATTGGTTGAACGTAGAAATAGACAGAACAGTAGCGCCCACTCGTGCGGGCTCTTTAAATATCCTGCCACCAGTAAATGCCGCTCGGTTATCGCAATATGCGGGAATAATACTGTGATAACTCCCGCTACCCAACATACCGATCAATCTTTTTTTTTTTGCTTTGCTGAGTGGACGAGCTCACGGCCCACCTGGTGTTAAGTGGTTACCGGAGCCCATAGATATCTACAACGTAATTGCCGCCACCCACCTTGAGACATGAATTGTAAAGTCTCACTTTTAACAGTGCGGCTGCCCCGCCCTTCAAACTGAAACGCATTACTGCTTCACGGCAGAAATAGGCAGGATGATGGTACCTATCTGTGCGGACTCACAAGATGTCCTACCACCTGTAAAATCTCATCAAAACCTTTCACGGTACTCACAATAAGACATAGCGTCGCCATTCTAGACAGACGTAGAAGACGGACGTTAGTAATGATCGCGTGTTAAATTTTGGGTCACATTCATGCAAATTTTGATTTGCGTGTTATTAAACACGAAATGGCCGACACTAAAAATACGGCTAGTCTTGCAAGCTGTTATTATATCTGTAGTGAAGGTCATATTCTCGTTGTAACTCGAATGATCGTAACGGGGTCACGTTCCACATCAAATCACCGCTTCTGTTTGCTCAAAGATAAGCACTGATACAAGTGGATTTACGACGTGTCCCTCAAGCGAGATCGTACCCCAGTCGCTTGTTAGTAAATACAATTTTCTAAGGCATCATGTACGAACATGATGCCTACATAAATATGTAGAATAGGGATTGCAGCGCATAAAATAAAACTTCCACTGTTCCAAAATCTTCTGTTATTCTAATAAAAAAATGTCTAACACCTGTTTTACGCCAAAACCGTCTTCGCCATCTTTCTATTCTCTGTCATTCTCTTTTCCCTTTCTTTCCGTTTTCTCTCACTCAAATCTTAACGCTCCTTTCCACATTCTTTTTTCATACGTTCCATTCTTACCAACCTTACAAATATATGGATACTTTTTACTGATCATCGTGACCTAAAGGATAAGATATCGTCATTGTCTCGAAAGGGGGTGGTGGCATTTACGTTGTTGGTGTCTATGGGCTCCGTTGACCACTTTACACCGAGTGGGCCGGGCGAACGTCCACCGATTATAACAATAAAAAAAATCTAGAGTGAAGGAGTAAAACCTAAATTTGAGACAGTTAAATATGGTATTTTTGTTTAACCTAAACAAATAAACGCGATAGTACGATATATCTACCCGTTTTATTAAATGTTGTGATATACCTATTTGTTTCTCTCTGTACACATCATCACACTGTCGTACAAAAATTCCGAAAATCATCTACAACTGAGTCCAATTGATATTAACCTCTTAGACCAGACTTCTAACATCACCAGTATTTCTAGACACTTCAACAACGCTATTCTTCTATAGGCGAATTGATATTAACCTATAGACCAGACTTCTAGCATCACCAGTATTTCTAGACACTTCGACAACGCTATTCTTCTATAGGCGAATTGATATTAACCTCTTAGACCAGACTTCTAGCATCGCCAGTATTTCTAAACACTTCAACAACGTTATTATCCTGTAGGCGAATTGATATTAACCTCTAGATCAGACTTCTAGGATCACCAGTATTTCTAGACACTCCAACAATGGTATGTCCCATAGGCGTACCGGGGTACGTGATGGACGGGATGGCCGTGATCGGCGACGGAGAGCTGATCCCGGCCGGGTACAGCGTGGCGGGTCGAGCCGGGAAGCGCCGTCTGTGCACGCGCGTGTCGCGTCACACCGCCTCCGCCACCTCACTCGTCACTGACGTCATCGTCTGCTCGAAGATGAGGACCGCACCGCAGGGCTTCATTCTGGCCGGGTCAGTACTTCCAGTGATTCCATTACTCAGACTGGACTAGAAAAATTCCTAGATACAAATCTCCAGTTCTCTGTCTCTATACGGCATCCGTGGAGTCCGACTGTCCACAGAGTTTCTCGCCGATCTGCGTTTCCGATCCGGTGGTAAATTCTGCGAAGCATTGCTCTTGCTGGGGCAGTGTTAGCAACTTCGCCAGGTTTGAGCCCCGTGAGCTCACCTACTCGTTCGGTAAAGCTGATATAAATAGCCTCTCAAGGCTATCGGCATAGATAGAAAAAAAGAACAGAAGAAAAAAAAGCGAAGTCCGATAGTGATAACGAGGGGTGAAAGGTTTTGACGAAAGGAAAGGTCCAACTGTGGATGTTAATAGCAAAATTAGCAAATAAAACGGAACTTTAATTACAAAGATAAATGTCACGTAACAAGCGAAAAGTCGCTTAAACCAGATATCCTTTGACCCCTCGATAAGATCCTCAAAGCTTGAACAATCAAAAAAGTTGATAACATTCTTTCGCAGTGCGATAAGCGGTAAAATGGTGTGTTACAAAGTGAGCGGGGGCAGCGCGGACACGTCGCCGACGCATGCGCACAACGAGTACGAGAACGTCGTCACCAACCTCACGCCCGAAGCCAACAGGAGGTGAGCACGGACGTGTTGCGGTGACCAACTGCTTTAGCAGCGCTGGTTGCCTTAAACACGACATTACGGATCATCTCGATCCATTAACAGTGGTTTTAGGTACCACAAGCACCGGTCACCGTCCTCGTCGAACCCGTTGCTTGAGACGGAGGGCTCGACGAGTAAATTAACCCACAGACACAGCCCACTGAGTTTCTCGCCGGATCTTCTCAGTGGGCCGCGTTTCCGATCCGGTGGTAGATTCTGCGAAGCACTGTTCTTGCTAGGGCCAGTGTTTGCAACACTCCCGGTTTGAGCCCCATGAGCTCACCTACTCGTCAAGCAGAAACTGAAATAGTCTCTCAAGGCTATCAGCATAGGTAGGAAAAAAAAGCGCTGCGATTTCAAACTCGATGAAACGATAAAGCGACACTAAAAAGAGACATACATACATCTACAGGATTTAGCCTGTGAGGAAATTTGATGGAATACTTCTGAACCTTTAATTTTTATCGCTTGTGATCTGCACACGTACACTGGTGGTCGTATAATTAGGAACACTACCAACGGTCCTTGACATTTTGTTATGATACTTCACCGCAATCGTTTTTATTTAGAAATTAAACAATAAATAGGACAAGAATATGTTCAACGATTTATCATTTATTAGAAAAACAATATAAAGTACACAAGTGCAGTTTCAATATTACATTATGGAAAAACATTTAAATCAGTTTTAAGGTATGAACAATTTAACGGTAGGCAGCGGCTTAGCTCTGCCCCTGGCATTGCTGAAGTCCATGGGCGACGGTAACCACTCAGCATCAGGTCGGCCGTATGGTCGTCTGCCCACAAGGGCAAATATATATATATATATATATACATTTTGAAAATTTTGTACAAAATAAAATTCAGATTAAATTTTAAATTGCTGCCTAAATAATAGAAAAAGCCAAAAAAGAAACGTTACCTATTCTCCAATTTCAAAAGAAGAACGAGCTGTGGATGCTTTTTTTTAAATATTTCTAATTAAGCGTCCAAGCGGCCAGTAACAGAAAATAAACTCCCACACGTTTAAGATTTATTTTGTAATTAAAAGCAAGATAATATGTTTAATATTGTATTCATATAATGAGTTTTTATTTGAGTGCCTATATTATTGCATGATTATTAATTATCTAATGTGTATATTTTTTACGAACATTTGTATGTTGAAGTTATAATTTTTTAATTCTTATGAAGTGTTTCTACTTATATCACCACCAGTGTATTAATTACGAGGATGTTATGCGTATAAATAACTCTATTATAATCTATAAGGAAAACTGAATCCAACAGTTTTTGAATTAACGTTACTTACTAAAAACCTCGGTTTATTATACAGGGTGTCCCAAAAAGAATTGATAATCCTGAAACACCTCATAATAGGGCTAGCTATTGGGGACACAAAATAAAAAATAAGATTTCTCACGTAGTACCTAAATTACGTATTTAAAAAAAAGTTGATATTTTCCATACTGCTGTGCGTTTCTGGAATATACAACAGCTACAAATAAATGAAATCCATAGGCTTTTTGGTATTATAATATTCTACATGGACTATACTAAGGAATATGCAGGAAATCGTATGAGTAGCTAGTGTATTTTTTTATAAAAGTTAATCTGAACTTAAATTTTAATCACGAAATTTTGTATTTTTTCTTTATTTTTAATTTGGGAACTAGGTACCTAAGAAAAAAAATTATATTTTGCGTCTCCAATAGCTTTACTATGAGGTGTTTCAAGATTATCCATTCTTTCTGGGACACCCTGTATAAGCCCTTTCAACACGGAACGCATGAGATAGGCAGGATTCTGGTACAGGGTGCTGTTTTACCGGTTTGCTTCATCGGTCTGCAGTAGTAGCCTTTTCAAAGTATACCAAACCTATCTTCCAGATTGCGAGCAGTACCCGAACGACCTCCTAAGCTTCCCACTCTCATCACGGATCTGAACAACTTGAACATAACCCAGTCGCCCGCTTCGTATCCCAAAATCAACGGTCTCGTGACGGACCACGACTACGAGGCCTTGAATCCTTCGTATAATATCAAGCCGAGTAGGCCCGCGCCCCGGCCTCCGTCCTCGAAGTCCCCGGTACCCGAAGCGAAGTCCCCTCAGCCGGTCGCGAGGAAGAAAGGCCCCGCCCCCCTACCCGGGCCGAGGAACACGATATACCAGACCCTGGGAGGATATAACGGCATGGAAGGAGTGCCGTTTGTGTTGAACTCCAAGCTGCGAGGGCTGCCTAGTGATTCGCTGGTAAGAAACGAAAGGAAAATGTTTCTAAATGTCGGTAAAGAACACTAAATAGCCTTTCACACCTCGATATATACATACTACATTTAATGGTGGTAGGACCTTTTGAGTCCGCACGGGTAGGTACCACCACCCTGCCTATTTCTGCCGTGAAGCAGTAATGCGTTACGGTTTGAAGGGTGGAGCAGCCGTTGTAACTATACTGAGACCTTAGAACTTATATCTCAAGGTCGGTGGCGCATTTACATTGTAGATGTCTATGAGCTCCAGTAACCACTTAACATCAGGTGTGCTGTGAGCTCGTCCACCAATCTAAGAAAAAAAAATCATGTTTATAATAACATAATGATAATAAAATAATAACATAAACATATATTACATTATTACATTTATAATAAAATAAACATACATACATATTTATAATAATATATATAACAATGTGTCTAAATGTCGTTAAAGAACACTAAATAGCCCCTAAATTCACCCCTCGATACATACATATAATATCTATATATATAATATTTTTTTAAGGGATTTTATGACCTAGTAACTAAGACCTTTAGGTCAATTCTGATTTTCATTTTAATGAAAAAAAAATTATATGAAAAAAAGTGATGGGACTTAACGCTAGTTGATCATGTCAGTAAGCCGCAATTCTCTTCTCTTAACGCAAATCGCTTGATCTTTGCTGGTTTGCGCACCGGTTGCTCTTCAATGAAATGAAATTGATATGAAACATGACATGAAATGAAATGAAAACGAAATGAAATGGAATGAGATGAGGTGATATGGGATGAAATATAATCTCAGTAAAATGGCGGTCATTTATTGAGACTTATACATATATACATACATATTTCGTTACAGACTCAATTCCCGGTAATAAAGAAACGAACGCGCTTCGAGCTCGACCGTGACTATTCGTACAACTTCGCAATCGAACGACAGACGTGAGACGAAACCGTCTCGACTCTATCTACGTAGACGTAAGGTGTGTATTTGAATGTACCAATATTGATACTGTTACTTTTTAGCATTAAACCGAAGTGAAGTTTTGTAATAACATTTATTTTTCATTTGTTATTTATAGGACGCTTCAAATTCAAGTGAGAAAAATATTGTGCCATCTGCGAGTTCTAAGGACGTCAGTTTCACATAATAATAATAATATGAAATAATTATATACTCCACGGGCCCGCGGCCACATACAACTTTTCGCTTGAAACTTTATCCAGGAAAATTAAAAATTTTCACTATCACACAAACAGTAAGAAATTCAAATCGATGTACATATTAACAAAAAAGTAATATTTTCTTCGGCTTTTACTAGTCGAAAAAATTATTATAAACAAACATAATTAAAAACGTACAATATATTTTTTAAATATTCGTAAGGAGGTAAGGAGCACCATCTTTACGGGACTAGTTGAAAAAGTTGGACACTTTAGCAAGTTATTGTTGGAAGAGTCACCGAAATAGCGCTGGTGTAGGAAGTGGAAGTGATATGAATATAGCAGTTTTAAACAGAGCCAAGTGTGGTATGTAGTTTATGGCGTTGTTTTTAAAATCTTTTCGCTTGCTACTGTGGCGCCACCTTAATTGGCCCACTTTCAGCGGACACTTTTTAATGCACTGAGCTGGTGCTTACCTCTACCCTCCATACAAGAAACAAAACGGAAGACGCCCACGTAAAAGTAATTCGAACATACACCCTAGAGTTTGTCTTTGATCTAAGTAGCAGAAAAAAAAAACTCCTGAATGTATTTATACTATTTTTGAATTCATAATAATATCAAAGTGTCACATTATACCGATAAACACTAATTTTACTGTAAAATTTATAATTTAAAAACTGAGACTTGAACTCATGTCTTGAATGTAGGCGGTGGCATTCACGTTTTTGATGTCTACGGGCTCCGGTGACCACTTAACAGCAGAGGGACCGCGAGTTCGTCTATCAATCTGTAGAACATTCAGTTACCACCAGGATATGTTTTAGAGTAGACGTATCAGGACTCGATGGCTGAAACTACGAAACAACTAGATAGAGAACACTGTCGAAGTTTAGAGCGTAGCAGATAAATAAAAATAATGAATTGTCTAGGTGATTAAGAAAGACTGTTTGGAAACGACAATTGTGTGATCAATGTGTAATATCATTAATATAAAAATAATTGACATGGCAAAATGAATTAAATTATTCTTTAGTGTTGCCAGAAAAAAACAATTTTTTTTTTCTAGTAAGAATATAACAAAAATTTTAAATTTATTTATCAATAAATTCATATTTCTTGTATCGATTCTACGGTTCTCAATACGAAATATTTATTGTATGATCATAGATAATTTTGAATAAAAACCCTTTGCCTTGGCCGTTTCGATCAGTACTCGTTACATTACTTTGTAACAATAATAAAAAAAAACTATTTATCGTAATGTCGTAATATGTTAAATTATTTTTCTTTACAAACAGTAATTAATTCTCCTAATGTCAAACAACACAAGAATTATGAGGTTAATTAGACAAAAATATGTTTTGAATTAGAGAGCACGTTTTTACTGTATTTATGTATGTACCGATACAAAATAGAAACGAAAAGAGATCGATATAAAATACAAACATATCTCTTTGTATTATATACGAAAGTTTCAAACGCTTTACCATGGCTGTTCTTGAAGAATTACTAAACGCTGTTAATTATTATAATCAAAATAGGACAGCTCGGGGATATCCACAATTCAAACATTACAACGCATTTTCCTCAGAAATAAAAAACCAACGCATCAATAATTGTTTTAAAAATATCTCTGTCCTTCTGATTTTAACCGACATAATTAATTAATTAATATTTTTTTGATTATTGTGATTTTTTTTAACTGTTTCTATTTAGATTAAATTTTCAATTATAGATATATTATTACGTAAAAAAAGCGATCAATAAATAATTCTTATTGTATGTCAAATTCGTGCAATATAAGAAGACCTCAATGCTGTATTGGTATTTGAGTCCTATAACGTTTCATTTAGATTTCATTTTCGAAATTTATCTAATATATTACATTTTAAAATTGTAACTAGACTTCTTAAAAGTTCAATTTATGTAGTTTAATTTATGAAAATAATTTTTAGTTTTCGCTGTGACACGTTTACATTTATTTTGTACAAAAATATATTTAGTGGAGTCATTTTTTTTGTGGGAGATGATGTGCCCTGTACGCCATGCAAGATATCCCAGTTAATAAAGGAGTCTTGGGTCGTCCTGGCTAGAAGATATTTAATTGGATTTACGAGAATACAGAATTTTCACAAAACAAAACCGCACCTAATTAGATAATTTATATTTGAATAGTGATTTTTAGTGTTTCATGTACTGTAAAAGCTCCTTAATCGCGGGGTGTATGTTCCGAATATAGAAATCGTGAATATGTTATGATTATTTACATAGTATATGTGATTATAAGGGATAGCTGACAAAATAAAAACATACTTTAGATCTAGTTGTAATAAGGTCTATTTTACTTTTTTATTAGTTCATTTGACGATGCGTTTACGAAGATTCTTCGGTTGAATACGTACATATTGGTATCCTTTTTATCAATGTGTATGTATCGATTCGATCTGCGAATAGAGAAATCTCTAGCCGCGAATATAGGTCTAAATTTTTTTGAATCCGTATTTTAAAAACGCGAATAAAGGAAGTGCGAATATGGAGTTTTTACTGTATTAAAAACATTTTGTGCCAATTACATTCGAAGCTGTAACGTTATAGTCGATTAGTGAACTTTTTCCTAGTCAAAATAAAACTCTAGTGTATTAGTGAAACTTGAAACATTGTTCCCTAAATAAAAATAACTAGGCCCAGTAATCCTTAACATGTAATAGCAATTACATTTAATGAGAACGGAATTAATTTAATCTCGTTTCTAAAATTTAGTAATAGTTTACAGTGAAAAATAGATTTTGCTCAAAATTTGGTCACGATTTTTTTATATTCAACATTGACTTCTTCTGAACGTCTCTGCGTTGTGTGTAGGCCCGCAGCGAAGGAACTAAAATATTGTAATAAAATATTAGATTTTAATAGAAATTCAATGTATTCGTATACTTAATAGATAGATTTTTATAAAAATCATAAATTATGAGTGTAACATTTCTGTTTTTACTTTATTAAGTGACATTTATACACGTATGATGGCTATTAAATATAGAAATGCTATTTAAAAATTATATTTTAAAGAATACATGTCATCATGTCCCAATTAATTTCGGTTCCTCTATAAATGAGATGTGCGTCACACGTTCAGTCAGACGCTTGTTAGCACTTTATTTTAATCGGGAACGTCTTGGCCGGTTTTTGGAAACTTTATAACGATAATGTGCATGTGTAATTTAGTGAAAAAAAAAACATATTTTGTTGCGACATTTTAAATTAAAACAGCATAGTTATAAATAAGAAATGTTCAAAGTATCCTACTCCGTAATGCCAAGGAACACTCATGTACACTAATATCCAATAGATAGCGAAATGAAATTATATGCCTCAAGTTTAAATAACAGTATGCAATTAATGAAATTCATGTGTTAATTTCAGGGTCTGTAGACCATTCATATTCTTAATCTTCAATATCACTTTTTTTTTAATAACTTAAAGTTGACATTTGAAAATTTATTCCTCATGAAATTATTTTACAAAAAAAAACGTTTATTTAAATTACTTTTTATTAAATTGTTGCTATTCGTGTGATGTATGTAATATGTAATTTAACGGGTTGACCAATTAGAGTAGCATAACCTGGCTGATTTAATTAACTTGTTTCATAGCACACCTGGTCGCATGTCATTCGTCCCAACTATGTGGTTTGAATTGTAGGAAATTATATTATTTATTGCGTTAGTTTTTTTTTTTTCGTCAATAATTTCAACAAAACGAACAAAAGGTCACAATAGACTAAGTTTGATTATTCTACTATATAAACAACGTTATGTGCCTCAATTTATCTGAGAAGCGATAGTCCGGTGAATCTTGATGTTTCTGAGATGTAGTTTTAGCATTCTTTTATAGATTATTCATAGTTATTTAATTGTATTTTTATAGTATATTATGCATGCCGCCCATAAATGTTCGTTGCACTATCGTCAATTTTTGTACATATCTTGTTTCTTTAGATTTTATATAGCGATTCCATACGAATAAAACTACAGTAAAACTAAAATATCGCATTATCATAGGTTGGCTTAAAAAATAGAATACCTTTCATCGGTTTTGTGAGGAAGCATGTTTTCCTAATTCCTTTAGCGTATTTACCAAAATAAAATTTATTACAAATGAGATTATGCAAGTATTATTATGACTGAAGTTTTATTAATTTATTTCTAAATCCATCTTTATAAAATTTGTTCAAAGACATCTTTTAATTTACTATGTAATGTTCAAATTAATGAAAGAGTAATATTTTATTTTAATTAATTTCCTTTTTTAAGTATTATTCGCGATCTTCTTTTTATTTATGTATAAGGGAGTTCACCTTACTAAGAAACGAAATACAAAATTGTATTGTGATTTTGTAAAGCTCCTATGATGTACATAGTGGTATCCAAATTCGATTAGAATTTTAGTAAGCTTTTTACACCAAACTATAATTGTTTCAAATTCTAATTGAGAATAAAATAAATTATTGACTGATTAAATTTTCCAGAGTTTCATTTCAATATGTTTGTTTTAAGAATGGTATAAGTAATATATACTTTAAGATCTGGTTAACTTTGTTAATTTCTTTAATCATGATCAAATTTTTTAGGTTAAAGAAGTTCATTGTTGTTTTCTGTACTCACATAATTAAAAATATTAGAACCTGTATTTTTGTTATTAAAATGTTTTGGACAATTCAAGATTACATTGGACACAAACGAGTAACGTTTTGAAACATTATTTTATCAGAGTATAGAATTGACTTTGTGATGTGTACAGGCCCATATTAGTTGTGAACCCTCAGGTTCTCGCTGGATCTTCTCAGTGGTAGATTCAGCTAAACACTGCTCTTGCTAGAACTAATGTTAGCAAATCTCTCAGGTTGTGCCCATCATATACCAGTCCGCGTGTAGTCGAAGTAACCTCTTAAGCTATCAACGAATAAAGAAGGAAAATAAATAAAAATAAATATTTGTAAAAGGGTTATAATTAAAATAAATGAATACAAAATTTATTAACAAAATAAATTTATTTATAAAAATCTTTACAAACATTACATATAGAAATTCAATTGTTTCGCTTATACCGACACGACAAAAGAGTCGTGTAGCGCAGATTAAAATCAATTTAAAATGAATACGATATTTTGTACTTCAGATTTTATATCAATTCAAGTGGGAGATGTACTACAAAGTCTAATTTATTTATCATGCAGAGAAGTCTAACACAAACATGTGAGATTACATTAGATCATTTCAAGGCCTACTAGATAAACACAATTTATGAAAGAGAACTTCAAATTCATCAAACTGATCTTAATCAATAATATCAACACAAAGACTTCACATGAAAACACAAAGTAATTTTTTTTATGTTCTAACATTTTTAGGCAAATAATTTGGAGAGTTTATCATTTATTTGATTAACAGTTCCTAAAGGGTGAAAAACACAATGTATTACTTTTATAACAATACATAAAATAGAAAAATCAAGTACTGTTGTCACACGAGGAAATTTTAATCTTACTGTACTGAGGTAGCTAGACGCGCTATGATGCAGATCAGGGTGCTTAGTGCGAGTTTTTTAACTTTCTCGATAGCGTAAAAGTTAGCTCATATTTATATGGAATGCGATCGTTTGCCTACGTTTGCCGCTAGAGGCGCTGTTCCAACTGCATACCAAATAGGGTTAACTTTTACGTTATCGAGAACGTTAAGAAACTCTCACTAAGCATACTGAACTAGTTTCCATATTACGTATAAAATCCCACTCGCTGCGATGGCGTACGTGACCCCGTGTGAATAGCTCTGCCTTTTATATATCAACATAGTAACACAACATATGAACGAATAAAAGTTGATAAAGCGGAGTGAGCGTGTTGAAAGGCATGTAGGTATTGTGTACTTGATTTCAGTACGGGACGGCAAATGATGTATAAAAATCTCTTATTTTTTTTAATATCAACGAATTTATTAGTAAAATTACGTAGAAATTAATCTTTTAAAAATATAAGGGTGTAAGGGGCAGTGAATGTGCAGTTAGGTCATCTCAGTATCTCGCACACAACGAAACTGTAATATCGGTCGTGTTATGGACAATTCTGTAGACAATTTCATAGGCAAAAAAAAATTAGATTACAAAAAATGTTTATTAAAAACTGATATATTTTGCTCATTGATGATACGAGATACAGGCGTGATCGGTGAGACGGTTTAAAAGAGTCGAACTGAATGTGATGAAAGTGGTACCAAGTATTACGATATTATTTAAACATCCTGTCAAAAGGATTACATATTTTACATTAAAATTTACACAAATAACATTACATGAAATTATTATATACACGACTTAAGGTACAAATAAATTTATCTTTATCTTATCGATGTTAAATAAATAGAGTTTTATTATGCTGTAGTAAGTAATAGACTCATTTTAAAAATTAATTTGTAAAAACATATTTGTTGTCTTTACAGGAAAAGGCAGATTTGAAATTGAATACACAAGGATTTTTTTAATGTATGATTGGCGTGCCACCCTTTGCTGGTGATCAAACTTAACAATTTTTTATTACGTTAACTTGTAAACTGATATTAAATAGCGCGTAGTCAAGTGAAAATGGCACAAAAACTGTTGTTCCGGAGATTGATAACATTGGAACAATTTCTTCATAATTTATGTAGAGATGAAAATTCATTTTAATCACAAATCTGTTAAGGAAGTCCATTGATCAGAAGCCACCTGGTCTAGGTTGACCGTTTTAAAAAACTTTGTAGAGACCATAGATACTTCACCCCAGCAGATGAAATATGATTTTGCGACGATCGCACGAGAGCCAGGTGTAGGCTGTATAAAATTGGTTACCAGTGCCTTAGTTAGTAACTGGCAATAAGACCATGTGCCAGGGGGACATTAAAATATTAACTATCATACAAGGAAATTTTAGGCACTAAGTCCGGAATTCGTTATCAGCTGCATTTTGTGATTACAGCGCGTCCGTTTTTTTAGTTATCTATATTTACACGGCTAGTTCCATTTACACGCTACGATTTATCCGTTATGTAAATTATCACATCACTTACAAGCCACGCACAGTGTACGCTTGTAATTAGTAAGGCCTGCGTCACTGAGTCGTCGGTGGCTTCATCTGTTTCTGCTGTTCTAGGAGTCGCTCCAGCGGTGACGAGATGGGCCCCGTCCATAGTGACTGCGAGTTGAAAAACACAATCTTATTATTTAACGTTTTAAAACATAATGATTATTAATATTTTGTACGAAGACAAAAATTGTCTTATTAAAATTTATAATCGTTTTAATGCGCTTTTATTAGCTTCAAACGTATCTGCCCTGGTGGCTAACGGATTTTGACCCCCTTCAAAACGTCGGATTAAATATGGCATACTTATTTAGGACCGATGACAATTCAATATTAAAAAAGAATAAAAAAATAAATAAATTGGTAATTCAACTAAAAGATGAAAAATAAATAATAGTTTAAAAAAACTAACAAAATACGCTTTTATAGAAAATAAAACTAAAAAATTAAAAAAATATTTTTTACTAAAAAAGCGTGGGGTGCATGGTATCAATGGCTATAAATATTTTATGAACAGGTATAAGTAGAAGGGTTATTTTGATAATATCCTGAAAAGTACCCTACGCTTTTTTTTTACACTATTTTTAATTAAAATTTATTTTCATTATTTTAGTTGGATTTTCTATAAAAGCGTATTTTGTTTTTTTTTTTAAACTATTATTTGAGTCGTCTATTATCAAAGGTGGCAATCTGTGCATTTGGACAAAAAAATGTTATTGATATGTCAATACAGATTGATTTGAATATAATCGTCTCCTTCAAAGAATACGGTTCAAAACCTGCATTAAATAAAGGTTAATACTGAACCTGTTATTTATCTAAGATGTCGTTCAGAAGAGTTTTGTGACTGGCAATGGAATACAAAGTCAATAATTCGTTTTTCTGATTTACCAAAAATTGTCCAAAAGTCACATTGCCGGCTTTGATACTAGTCGACTCATTTATTCAAACAATAATGATGACATCTTTGGGTTCATCATGTTAAGTATATTAATTTTAATATAATAATTATGTACTTCTGTTGTTGATCATGTGTTTAATCTGAGACAACAGCTCTGAACATAGTTTATTTTTGATAGAAGTATGTAATGGCGGCGAGCACATATTTGTGTTTGTTGTGTTGTTAGTAAAATTAATAAAAACAACACCAAGCTTTTTACTAAGTTTGCACACATCGTTGACGGATCGTTTAGATGCCCACGTATGACGTCACAGATTACGTTACCGCCGTGTGGGCATTCAAAAACAAACGATACGAAATTAAAAATAAAAATTCATTGATGCATTGTCTATCGGTTAAATCACAACTACATTTATTTATTTATTTGAAGACCCACCTGTTGTGGCTGGCGACTCTGTCCCCAGCTGAGAGCGTCCGGCGCCCCGCTGAACAGCGAGTAAGTATTTCCTGACGCAGCACCGACCGTCGACTCGTTGACCTAAACAAATAAAAAAAATTATTGCACTCGCGAAGACTCATCGGAATCTGTCATAGGTACACTTTGGGATGTATTATAGGCCGATTTCTATCCAGATATGGAGAGTAGAGGTAAGGAGAACCGTTTCATATGGGAGAAACGTGAAAAAGTGCCCCACTTTCAGCAGTAAAAAACAGTTCAAAAATCCTCCGGAATGGCGCTAGCATAGGTACAGGGTATGATATGAGTTGTTAAGCAGCATTGTTAAGCGGTTGTTAACGGATTGAAGTATGTCGAGTTAGGAAATTTAATATATTTAATGAGTAGAGTAGTTAGTGACAGTGTAATATACAAGACCTCACATGTTTACGTGGTCCAAACTAATTTCGTCAATATAACCTAAAATTATTGCTGTGGTAAAACGTGGGGACATCGATTGCATTTTCTTATCAGCTTTAAATAAAATACTTTTTGTGATTTTGTAGTGCTTACAGTTCTTTCGTCCTTTTTTATTTCTCTATCTTATTCTAAGCTTTCAGCTCCTTTTTTAAAATTTACCCGGTTGCTACTGTAGCGCCACCCTTATTTAGCAGATTTTAACGGACACTTTTTCACAACAGAGACGCTTCTCCTTACCTCTACCCTCCATATATCCAGATGCATTCCATTGTTGACAAGAGAGACGTTTAAAATAAATAAACATTTTTAATCATTATTATCACAAGTTAAAAAATAAAATATACCTTTTCAACATTCTGCGCCGGTCCCATCACACCGAGAGGTTCCTTGTAGTTCATGCTTAAGTTCCTCTGCGACATGTCCGGGACACCGGGGCCGAACCCGAGTCCCATATCCGCAGACTCCTTCCCTGGGTAGCCGGGCTGCTTGTCCATCATCTTCATGTGAAGCGGTTGGTAGCCCAGCTTGCTTGTGAACTGCGGGTACATGGTCGAGTCGTAGCTCGGATTGGGCACATACGCTCCAAAGTTATTGATCTGAGCGCTAAAGTTAGGTGACGTCACAATATTCTGCAATGTCTGTAGCTGAGGTTGGCCGATGGCTGACTGCAGGTAGCTCGATGGGTTCATCATGTTCTCTTGCTTTTGTTGGCCCATGCTGTTGGGCATTTGGTTGTAGGTTGGGATGTTGGTGTACGACGGAATGTTAGGGTTGACCGGTGCATAGTAATGCGCCTGCATGTTCGGCTGCATCGAGTACGTAGAGTTGTAACCGGTTTGGTTCTCTGGCTTCCACCCGGACATGACCTGCTGGTAATTATCCGGGAGCCAATTGTTCCGCTGCTGATTGAACGGCTGTAGGGCTGCGTTGCTGGGCGTGAAGTTGTCATCCCTAAATTTGTTTTCGTTGAATTGACTTTCCTGAGCGGCCTGCCAGTATCGGTACTGGTTCGCGAAGCGCGGCGGCAAGTCGTTAAGGAAGTTCTTCTTGTCGCCCGACACTTGGTAATTGTGGCCGAATTTGTGCGTGTCTTGGAAGAGGTCTTGCCGGGAGCTCTGCTTCTGTATGGCGGCCGTAGTCACGTCGATCTCCCTGGGGTTCACGACGGGCAGCCGGATGCCCTGGTTGCTTTGGTGGCCGGCGTTATAGCTGATGCCGGCTTTTGGTATGCCGTAGTTTTTCTGAAAGGCTGCCCGGGGCGCGTCGTAGCCCTGCTGCCCGGCTCCGCCCCAGTTGGGCGACGAGGGGGTTTCCTGTCGCGCGGTGTAGTTCTGCGAGCTCTGGTTGGTATTTTGACTGAACTTCACGTCTTTTTTCTCATCGCTTTCGGGTTTCTTGACTATTTCCGGTTCCACATTAACAAGGTGAGGATAGCCGGCGGACTTGTCCTTGAGTGACAGGATTCCTCCAGTTTTCCTGCCTATGGGGAGGTTGGCGAGAGATTTCATAACTTTCGGTTGTATTATTTTCGGTTTGTCCTGTTCTTTGGAGTCTGTGCTGTCTGCTGTCGAATCTGGCGTCGGCGGCGGCGTCACGAACTTAACCTTCGAACAGCATCACGGGCGTGGTTAGCAAAATAACAATTACTGTACTTGTAATGTTTATTAAAATGAAAATGCTCAAGTATGGACTAATTAAAGGACATGGGCCATTTTCGACCCAGCTACTCGTGCTCTCAAGGATATTAATGAAATATCTATTAAAAAAAACATTTAATTTTTACATATTATAAAATTTAAGGGTATTTCAATGGTGGGATAATTAAAATCATAAATAAAAATAAATTAGCATGACTAAGCTATATTGATAATATTGAAGAAATTGCCACAGGTAAAATATATATTTATATTTTAAGCAATTCACATTAAATCTTCTTAAAAAAACATTATATTGCAAAAAACTAGCAAAATATATTAACATATTTAATTATTGGATTTTAAAATTAATATAAAATATTATTGTTGTATTGTGGATATTATTGTTTCGTTGCGATATACCTGCTTATTATATTTTGTTGTAATATAAATAATATTTAAGCTGATGATGATGTTAAAGTGTCAGCGTATTGACAGCAGAATCATATGATATAACCTAAAAATCTTATCTTATCTTTTAAATATCTCTGTATCCCCATGAACAATATTGATTTTAATTTGTTTATAACAAAGGGATATATAGTCTGTTATTTAAACTTAATTTCATTACTGTCCTTGAACTTCGTTTAGTGGGCCGTGCAATGTATGGAGAGTGGCCCATGTCCTTTATTATGAGATATAATCTGATGAGATTGGAGTAGTATTTCACCTGTTTGTTAGTCTCCTCCTGTTTCCGCATGATGGCCGCCATGGCGATGTTGACGCGCGGCTTGCGGCCCTCCCGCCGGTCCTCGCTCTTGCTCTCTTCTACCTCAATTTCAGGCTGTGTACAGATGACATAATAAACAGTTTTTTTTTCCAAAGATACCAGCAACTCCTAAAACCTTTATCCTAAAATTCTAAAATAAACGAGATCGAATAAGATTGAATTTTGATGTAAATTAAAAAAATATGTGAAATGTAAGTTTATGAGAAAATCTAGCAGTCTTAGTTTGTTTGGCTATTGATCAGAAGATACGGGGCTGCAAACTGAGCTAATTCTAATTACTAGTATTATTCTGTAACACGCTTCTTTCTATTGGCATCAAGTAATATTACAGTATAGCTTTACTATTTGCCTACTACTCAAGTTTGTACTATTACATTTCAACACTAATAACAGTTCGCTTCGTGTCGCGCGTTCACCCAGTAAGCCAGCCAGTAAGACAGCTCACGACACGCGAACACGGTATACAGTTAGAGCCCGTTCACACACGGTCTCCGTTTTACGGGTCCGTTTTGTCGGATACGTTTTTTTTCATCGATGGAGCATAGACTTGTATGAGCGACTTCAAGTCATTATTATTACTGGTGGTAGGACCTCTTGTGCGTCCGCACGGGTAGGTGAAGCAGTAATGCGTTGTGAAGCGCGGCTTGATGGGTGGGGTAGCCGTTGTAACTATACTGAGACCTTAGAACTCTCAAGGTGGCGGCATTTACGTTGTAAATGTCTATGGGCTCCAGTAACCACTGAACACCAGGTGGGCTGTGAGTTCGTCCACCCACCTAAATAATAAAAAAAAACATGTGTGCAATTCACACGTGGTAGAAGTGAAACCTTCCAAAATTAAAATACAATTATCATAAACGTCTTAAGTATATGTAAAATTATGTCATTAGTAAATAATTATAAGGTAGCGCCCTCTGTGAATTGATATTTTAATTTCACGTATAATCCTAAATTAAAATTCACTACAAGAGCTTTCATACACACGTTAGTATTAAAAAATCTCACAGATGGCGCTGTATTAAATAGTATGTATATTTGTCTCATTCTTTGCTGGCTTCATCCTACACATTTTTGTATTTGTGTCTCTTACCTGTCGTTTTTTCCGTTGCATCCGGTTTGAAATCACAACGATTCTAAAGAAGTTTTCACTTCAAAAAAACCTATGGTACAGTATTCAGTATACAGTAAATAAAAACGGTCCGGTAAATTATTCCGTTTTGTCATCGAACACTGGATGAACGGAATACGTATCCGTCATGTTTCTGTACAATTTTATCGAATAGAAACTGTGCGGGGGTGAGGGGGCCGGCGGGGGGCGCAGCTAAACAAACAAGTTTCATCCTGGTAGAATATCGGCGGTATACTACGTTTTTTCTTGTGAACATCGTATCCAGTAATGACAGATACGTTGAACGTTATTCGGAGACTATGTGTGAACGTAACATAATTTTTTGTCGTATCCGTTAAAACGGGCACCGTATTATACACGGAGACCATTTGTGAACGGGCTCTTAGGGCCTACATCGGAGCACTAGGTGCAGGCGGCAGACGGTACCTGGTCCTCCTGGGTGCAGGCCAGCGCGCGCTCCTCGCGGGCCCGCTCCAGCGACCCCTGCGGCTTCAGGATGCCGACGCGCTTCTCCCGAACTGTTCACGAAGTAACAAACAGTTTTAACTGACAACCGACACGTCAGAGCCGCCTTAAGTCTGGGACTTCATTTAACAAGGGTCATTTGAAAGTTAAAAAGGACAGTTTCTTCTGGCAGATAGTGATGAAGGAGGAGTTAAAACGGCCCAATATGAGGGAGTACTTTTTCCCCTCCGAAAGAAATACTTTTCCTCCTCTAGTCATCAGATTTTAGGGTGCAAAAGCGGCAGTGGGATCGTTAATTATGTATTTAACAATCCACACACGTGGGTTGAAGATCCGCTGAGTAAAGTTCCACCACAGGACGCAGATGAGATAATACCAATCTTCATTCCTTGACGAGCATACCTTTCTCCCGGAAGTCTGCCTCGGAGATGATGACGGGCGGCGGCGGGGGGGTGGGCTCGTCCTCGCTGTCGTCCTCGTGCGGGTCGGCCCCCCCGCCCCCCTCGCCCTCCAGCACCTCGTCCCCTTGCACCAGAGACAGCTCGGCGAGGGCGCGGGAGAGCTGCTCCCCTCCCGCGTTGGCCCCCGTGAAAGTTACTTTACCATCTTCTTCACTGTGATAATAAGATTGTATAATTTGCATAATTATTGGTGGTAGAGCGTCTTATGAGCTCGCGTGAGTAACTGCCTATTTTTCCGGTGAAGCAGTAATGCGTTTCGATTCGAACGGTGGGGGTAGCCGTTGTCACTATACAACTGAGATTCAGAACTCATGACTCAAGGTGGTTGGGTGGCGGCATTTACTTTGTCGATGTCTATGGGCTCCAGTAACCACTTAACACAAAAGGACCGTGACCCGTCTAAGAAATAAAAAGGCGTCGCTACGTACGTGTAGGAGAAGTGCTGCGGACATTTCTCCGCCAGTCTCTTCCCGAGCTCGATGAGTCTGTGGGCGCGTATCTTCCGCTCCAGCTCGGAGTCTCCACTGAGCGTGACGGCCGCGTCCGCCGGCGACCTGCGACAAGGCGACCACGGCTCGTTGGAAGCGATACCAGACGCGTGGCTCGGTCCACGCGCGATCCGACGATCGATACTTTTTTACTGGTGGTAGGACCTCTTGTGAATCTTCGCGGGTGGATACCACCACCCTGCTTATTTCTGCCGTGAAGCAGTAATGCGTTTCGGTTTGAAGGGTGGGGCAGCCGATGTAACTATACTTGAGACCTTAGAACTTATATCTCAAGGTGGGTGGCACATTTACGTTGTGGATGTCTATGAGCTCTAGTAACCACTTAACACCAGGTAGGCTGTGAGTTCGTCCACCCATCTAGGCAATAAAAAATAAATAAAAAAATGCGTGACTACATACTGCATGTCGTCGTCCCCGAGCAGGTCGGGCAGGCGGCCGCCGTAAGTGTCCCAGGAGGCGTGGCTGTTGAACCGCAGCTTATCGAAGGCGCCCTCCAGCGGCACGAACCCGTACAGCTCTTCGTCTTCCGGCAGCGGAACCCTTAGATCTGACGAAACGTTTGCAACCGGCTAAGTCAAGCTGCTAGTTGTCGTGGCCAAACGGATAAGACGTCCGGTGCATTCGTGTTGAAGCGATGCACCGGTGTTCGAATCCCGCAGACTGGTACCAATTTTTGTAATGAAATACAACAATGTTCACGATTGACTTCCACGGTGAAGGAATAACATCGTGTAATAAAAATCAAACCCGCAAAATTATAATTTGCGTAATTACTGGTGGTAGGACCTCTTGTGAGTCCGCACGGGTAGGTACCACCACCCCGCCTGTTTCAGTCGTGAAGCAGTAATGCGTTTCGGTTTGAAGGGTGGGGTATCTCGTTGTAACTATACGCGCATTTACGTGATGGGGCGTATTGTCCAGCAACTACTTTACGTCAGATGGGTCGTGAGATCGTTCTTTTTTTCAGCCCACAAACGTCCACTGCTGGACGTAGGCTATCCTCAAAGTTCACCACAGTAACCAAGCCTGAATCTAGTGGTTTCCGCGACCTTAAGAAGGTCGTCGGTCCTCCTCGATTTCGTTCAGGAAGCACTAAAAATATATTATTTATATTGTATGTTGTACTAAAATAAATGTTTACCGCACGCAATGTAACGCTATTAAAAGTCAAGTGTTATGCCGGGGTCAGAGTTCCTACGTGTCGTGGAGAATCTTTCCACGCTTGCCCACGCGATATACTGATTCCTTCCTTATTTTAGACCAACTACTGGTGCTTAGTTACCTTAACCTCTGTATCGATGTCTGTGTTAATTGTGTTCGATTCCCGGTCGAAATCAGTATATTTTCTGGAGATGTTTGGTATTGTTATGTTGGTAAGATTAACGCCATCTGTCATCAAATACCAGAAACGAACAGCAAAACAACTAGCACTATCGGAGACGTTCGAGTAGTGTGTTTTCATCTACTGTCAAATAGTGAAAACCGATAATATCAAAACGACTAGTACTATCGGAATAAGTTCTCGATAATTGTAGACAAAGACTGACTTTAAAAGTGTTGCAGAGATGACATGAAGGCAGTTAGTAATCGGTTCTACTCGAAGCGAAACAGCCAAGGGATCACCTGAAGCGAAGCGGGAGAAGAGAATTGCGATTTGTGAAGTGTACCTTATGTGTTGTTAAATAGTTTTAATTTATGATTCGGTGAAAGTTTTATTTGTCCCGGAGCCCTAGCGCGTTACAGTTTGGAGTTCCGTATCGGCCCCTCACCCCTACTCACACGCATCGCTGTGCTGGTGTGCGTGCTGCGGTAGCGCGTTGAGCGTGTGTGCGAGCGCCGGCCACAGCGCCGCCCGCGCGCCCCACCCCGCACCCCGCCCCGCGCCGCGCCCCACCGCCCACTGCACCCACACACGCACTGCAACAAGCGCCGAACTCTAATGGTACTCTAGATCAGTGTGCTTATTGCGAGTTTTTTTAAGGTTCTCGATAGCGTACGAGTTAATTCAAATTTGGAACGTTCATACGTAATTCAAAGTTGAAACGTTTGCCGCTAGGGGCGCTTTTCCAACTTTATACGAGTTTGAGTTAACGAGAACGTTAAAAAACTCGCACTGAGCACACAGACCACCACCTCACTGTTGACACTATATCTTTGAACTGATCGACAGTAGTAGAATCCTTTCCTGAATTACCTTCTTTCTCATTTCTCCTCAATTTTTACTGATGCTGCGAAATCACCTTTCAATCGTATGTAGGGAACGACAGCAGTATCCTAAGCCAATATACTACCTTTTTTTCCCTACCTAAGCTAAGAGCCTGGAGAGGCTATTTCAGCATAACCTTAACTAGTAGGTGAGCTCACGAGGCTCAAACCTGACGACGTTGCTAACACGAAACCTAGCAAGAGCCGTGCTTCGCAGAATCTACCACCGGATCGGACACGCGACCCACAGAATGTCCGGCGAGAAACTCAGTGGGCTGTGTCTGAGGGTTAATTTACTCGTCGAGCATTTTGTCGCAAGCGACGGGTTCGACGAGAACGGTGACCGGTGCTTGAAGTACCTAAAAGCACCGTTAGTGGATCGGGGGGATCTGAAATGACGTGTTTTGGGCGACATCGACTGCTTTCCATTCTGTCCGCAGGATCGGGAATGGATTTATTACCACTTATCGGTGGCGGCATGCACTTTGTGATGTCTATGAGCCCTGGTACTCAAGGTCACATCGAGCTCGTCTGCAAATATACAGTAAGAAAATAAACGGTGACCTCTTCGGCTCTAGTTCTCGCTTAAGGTTAACCATGAAATCCTTTGCTCATACTTGGCAGTAGATACTCACGTGCCGGTAACGCCTTCTCCGGCGGCCGGTCCGAAGTGTAGGCCGGGAGGAGCAGGGCCAGCACCGCGCCGGCCGCCAGGGACCTGCTGAGCTCCGCCGCTAGAGCCTCGTCGTCGGTCAGCGTGCTGCTGTCCAGGGTCAAGTCCTCGGTAGACGAGTGTACTAACCATATTAAAACGCAGGTCATCTATAGGAATTTCAGAATAAATCATTTTGTATTAATATATATTTTCAACATTGAGATACTTGCTGGTGCTTTTACTGGTAGGACCTCTTGTGAGACCGCACGGGTAGGTACCACCACCCCGCCTATTTCTACCGTGAAGCAGTAATGCGTTTCGGTTGTAAATGTCTATGAGCTCCAGGAACCACCTAACACCAGGTGGGCTGTGAACTCATCCACCGATCTAAGCAATAAAAAAACTTGCATTTTTTTACTATGCGCCTATACTGCAGAGAATATCATCTGGTGACCGTTTTAACTTGGGGTTCCCAAATTTATTTTGTCTACTGCCCACTTTGAGAGTAAATTATTTTTTAACGCCCCCATTTTTTCACCTACTTAAGAACCACTATAGCGAGAGCTCAGTCAGTGTCTAAGTTCTCCTAGATGAAATTACAAATTGCTTCCCAAACCTCTACACAACGCCCTCATTTTTTTACTGGGTCTCTTACCCTTTAGGCCTGGAGCGCCCACAAGGGGGCGTCATCAAACACTTTGGGAAAGGCTGGTTTAAGGTATAACTGTAATGAGTTAATTAATCCTCCACGTTAATAATAGGTTAAATAGTGTAATTGTTTAACTGCATATTGTGAATAAAATTATTTCCTTACATTATAAGTTAGATTAGTTTTCGTTATCGTGTTGCTTTGTCGTATATAAGGACCATTGTATACAAATTCAGCACTTTGTCTTGTGTAGTCGTGCGCACATGGCTTATGTTGCAAGCCAGATTTTGCTTTTTTTTACTTGTGTCTTTTTTTAAGTATTTTTTTAGCTTGTGATGTGTATTGTGTGCCTAATAAATAAATAAAATTTCCATTAATTATTTTAACTTCATTGGTCGCGGATGACTCTAATTCTAATCTAATATCTATAATCTAGTATGTTTATAAGAGTTGTATGAATATTTCGTTACCTTGACTAGTGTCATGGACTCGAAGCTGTCGGTAGCCACCAGGGCAGTTAATGAAGAGTTCAGGTTGCTCACCATACTCGACGCTGTCTTCAGACTGAAACGATAGGGTTTTTTAATATACTAGTGGTCCCTCGGTAGTCGAAATTCGACTATCATTAATTGAAATTAAAAGTTTGAACATTATTGTGATGCTATTGTCAAAGACTATAATTTTACTTCGTTGAATCAAAGTCTTTTCTTTTGTTACTGATTTTATGACCTGGTAACTATGACCTTTAGGTCAAGTCTTATTTTAATTTTATATTCTTATTTTTATGAAATATGATAATATGAAGTGAAATGAAATGAAATGAAATGAGATGAGATGATATGTATAAAATATAATCTCAGTAAAATGGTGGTCTAAGACTTTTTCAGTGGACTTTTTGGAGAATCCTGAGAAGTTACGTTCAGCGGCTTTTATTTCATTTTCCCACATTTGTGCACTTTCACGGATTATTTTTACGACGAAGCCGTCATTCGATCCGATGTGAAGAGTGAGACGGTCGTTATGTGCTGTTATTGGGACTGAGCACACCTCACGGTGAGAGCTGTTAGCATCTTATCATACTCCCGATATTCAATACAAAGTGGGGCCGCGACTTCGGCTGACAATTTATAATGTTAAAAAAAGTTTACGGTGCAATTTTATTTTGAAATTCCGTTATAGTCGTCAGTGAACACTTGTTCAGAAGTATTGATACGAGTTCATCTTCTCTATGTCTACCCATCTTACACTTGTATGTTTATGTAGATAACCCACTTCGAAAAAAGGGAGGAGGTTCACAATTCGTACTTGTGGTACCCATGCCGTCCCATTTATATTTTATCAAGATCTGACCCGTAGCTTATATCCACAATAATGCATATTTACTTGAGTTCGACTACATTGATGAAACTTTTATTTCATTCTCTTGAATTTATCGATTTTATTTTTTGTTATAAATTAGAAGTATTTAGTATCAAAATCACTCACTCTTCAACTGAATGTATGAGGTGTAATGCCTTCATGAGTTCAGTGATGTACGAGTGCGAATCCAATCGCTTTGTGGTCGGCGTCACTGTCGACTCTGTCGTCTGCGTCACACCTGGCAACACTGGCACTTCAGTGTTGCAAGCACTGTTGATCGCAAATAAAAAATAATTAATAATTGCGAATGGTTTTGTAAAAATGGTTTATGATTCTTGCCTCTTGTTTGTTTTTCAAATTGACATTTTTTTTTATTGAAATCGCTCTAAAATTAAATTAAATACGAATAAAGCTAAAATTAAATACAATAAAGTAGGGAATTTGATTATGATAAAAATAAATAAATGTGATATGATAAAAACATAACATTTTCGAGTGTATACCTGGCAGCCGCCCGTAAGGTCCTGGCGAGGTTGGCCGGTGCGGGCGGGAAGGGGGCGCGCACGAGCAGCGCCCGTACCTGCCAGTACAGCGCCGCCAGCCGCCGCCCACCGCGGCTCGCCACCAGCGCCAGCTGGTTGTACGGCTGACCGGAGTGCGCCCACACGCACACCGCCTGTCTGACCCACACATACAACATACTTGGATATACAGGGCCCGGTGCGTGAATGTCCTCAAATTTAATTGTCAAGAGAGTTGAAGTCATCTCCAGTGACACTAGCAGTATGTAGGGACACAATTTGAATAGCGCATGCGGTTGTACATCGATTGTTAAAGTCAATCGTCCATAGGCTGCCCGACACGGCAGACACTTGATAATATACGGAGTAAAATCGAAACCGGCTTGTTTTATTTATAAAAAACAGTAACACCTTTACACGCCTTATAAACCGTACAGTGAGGACCACGACGTAATAAAAAAGGGGGACTTATGTAGGGACACAGTTTGAGTAGCGCATGCGGTTGTACATCGCTTGATAAAGTCAGTCGTACATAGCCCGCCCGACACGCCAGACACTTGACAATATACGGAGTAAAATCGGAACTGACTTGTTTTATCTATAAAGGACAGTTAACGCGTTAACCTTTACATGCCTTATAAACCGTACACAGTAGATGCATAATACTATATAGAACAGGTTTTTTCCCCCAAGATTATGGGATAATGAAATGGGAAATAATTTCCGGATAACAAAATCATAGTATTGAATTTTTATATTGTTATAATTCTATTTATGACTAGGTGTACCCGTCCGCTTCGCTGGGCATTTAAAATTAATATTATTATTTCTCAGCTCCACAAAGATTCTCATTATTAACACCGCCGCAACTGGTGAAGGGAGTCCAACACTCATATAAATCCATTAAGTACATGTATTTTCTACATGGATACCAAGTTTCAAGTCAATCGGATGCAGTCAGTAGTTATAACGGAACATCCGTAAAAACCACCGTAGATTTATATATTAGTATAGAAGTATAGATAATTATTTTACCTGTAGAAGGTATGCGCGACTCTAAGCTGTTGTCTGTACCGCGCCAAGTCTCCTAGATGCACGAGGCAGTGCTGACAGATGTACCGCGCGGCGGGGGCGGCGGGGAGCCGGCCGCCCGCCGTCAGCTCACCCGCCCCCGCGCCCGCACCCCACCCCTCCACCCAGCCCACCAGGGATGTGCGACGTCTATTACAATAAACATTTCTATGCAATTATCAACACAACTATAACACTATAGCTATCAATTTCTGAATGCGTGAAAGCGTAATAGTATTTTAATATATTCATATGATTTAAAAAAAAAGTTATTATGATTTGTTTCGCATATCGTAATTTTTTTATTTTAGACAGAAATTAATAATATAATAAATGTTTCACCTGAAAGGTAAATCTAATTTAAATGTTGTGCATATCTGGTGCAGCAAACATAGATAGAAGCCGGCGGCGGCTTGCAGCACCAGCGAAAGCATTGCTTGACCCTCACTGCGTTGTGGATTCTAGAAGTAAATAATGAACAGAATATGTCGTTAATAATATTTTTTTTGCTCTATGGCTTGATTTCCTAATAAATTTAGGAATGTCATTCGTGTAGATTATTAGCTCCTGTTTTTACTGCCTATGTGGACAGACAAGCATACCGGATGGTTAGTGGCGGCCAACAATCGTGGATAACAGCAATGCCAGAAGGACAGACAGAGGGAAGTTCATTCCAGAGCCTGGTGGCATATGGTAAAAATTAACTGGTAACGCACTTTAGATGAACGCCATAGTTTCAAATAGTATGATTGAACCCTACTCTGGTTGTGACAATAAGATCATCTCAAACAATTACTCCTAACATTTGTTCCAGCCCCATCCATAAATTATTGCTGCCATGAGTACTGTATTACATTCTAGTCTACATTCTAGTTACATAGCATTTCCATTTGCTATTTGTCTGTGGGAATTTAAATGATATAAAATAATAAAGTAGATTTCAATTTACCTTTCTATCCTTGGATATGGCTTGCAGGGCTTCAATTTGTTGTTTGAAACCAACATTCCACAAATCTTGTTCAACTTTCTTCTCCAATGCATAATCCAGGTCTAAAACTAACACTTTTTGGTATATCTGTAATGTTAACACACTATGTTACTGTATGTTTTTAAACAATTTAAGAAAATAAGAACTGGCTGACCAAATGTAATTCACATATAAAGTAAAAAATTAGCAGATAACTATTATGTTAAGTAATATTCAAGGAAATTGAATAGTATTAAGTACAATTATTTTTCACCTATAAAGTGCTCACAATAATAATTTCATTTTGATATTGAATGTTAAGAAATTTTCACAGAAACAACTAAAGCCCTTATTAAAATAAGTTAAAACAGTACATATTTGTTTAAAAGTTACCTTGAAATGTGCTTAAATAAATTTTGATGCTAAGTAGTTGTGTAGTGATGGTTTAGAAGGACAACTTCTTAAAGTTTTTACTGGTGGTAGGACCTCTTGTGAGTCCGCATGGGTAGGTACCACCACCCTGCCTATTTCTGCCATGAAGCAGTAATGCGTTTCGGTTTGAAGGGTGGGGCAGCCGTTGTAACTATACTGAGATCTTAGAACTTATATCTCAAGGTGTGTGGCGCATTTAATGTCTATGGACTCCAGTAACCACTTAACACCAGGTAGGCTGTGAGCTCGTCCACTCATCTAAGCAATAAAAAAAAATTTTTTTTATGTGGCAGCTCAATGTCCTTCAGCTAAGATTCAAATAAACATTCACACAGCATGTGTTATAAATTTTTCTAAGCTGTCAAGTTATATATGGAATTAAAAACCTTTTGTAACTGTTGTTGTGTTGTCCATATATTTTGATCTTGAAGCATTGATGTTCCACTCTTAAAATTTAATATATTCTGTTTCAGCTCATCAGCTTCCCTGCACAGACAATTTACACACTCAGCAAAATTCGTAGAACCACAACTCTATATTTACAGTCTATCTAACCTAAGAAACATCTTTCACAAGCATTGAAAAAGTATAACACTTTTATTACTTATTGTGCAACTTGCATATGATGCAAGCAACTTCTTAGTAACATAACCTTTATGTTATAGTTATATATGTGTATATATATATAGTAGTTATATTTTTGTATATTTATGTTAAGTGACACTGATGGATTTGATATCTGGGGCCTTGAGTAGGAAATAATTAAGGATACTCATTCAGCAGAGAATCATTCATTTATCAAAGCTATATCTGTAAAGATCCTTTGACTTGGGTCTAGAACATCATCAAGTACTAATTAGCTAGTAAGGTAGTACTTAGATAATACTACTTAAGTAGTGCTTGATGATCCTCTATACAACTACAACAACTCAATTTTATGAAATCATTTTTAATTTCAAAATCAAGACACTTTTTCTATAAGCTCAAGCTCTTTACTTTTAATTTTATTTATTAGGTACCAATATGTTATATATATACACAAAACATTACAAGTAGGTAGCACATATATTAATTTTAGACTAAATGCTAACACGCTGACAACTAACACTGCTTGAGAACCACAGAATGATTCTTGAAATTGTTGACCTGTTTTTTTATGAGTTTCTTTTTTTATCACAATTATTCCTGGTTTCTACGGGTGTCACCGTCAGCAACAATAATTTCAACTGTCAATTTTAAGTGTTTTATCCCCAAAGTAATAATCTTTTATTTTCGGTTCCCTTGCTGATTTTTTTATGATACTTGTGGTATTTGAAAATGGGGAAAAACTAAAATCCAAATGGTTAACTCCAAAAAAAAAAAATTCACTACCTATTCAGTAAAACAGGCAAACATACAAAAACAAACAGAAAGATGTGAATTTTTAAAACTTTTATAAAATTATGATATTTTTTTAAGATACATAATACTGAATAATTACTTAATTTTACATCTGAATTGGAATGTCACTCCTTTGATTAGTGAAACAAGGTTACACACTTTAGACTTATTAAATTTTTGTACCTCAACATCTGCACGGCTGCGTTTAGTACCATCCTGACGGAAGCCTAAGGCCTCTGCAACTGTCACAGCATTAGGAAATTATTTTAAAAGTAAAACTAGAATAAGAGAGGCAAGAATAATCTTAAAAAACACTAGAAACAATCCATGTCCATTTGAAAATTCACATTTGATTTTTTTTAAGGGATTTTATGACCTAGTAACTAAGACCTTTAAGTCATGTCTTATTTTAATTTATATTGTTTTTGTTATGAAAAATAATAATATTATTTAAGTGAACTGAAGTGAAATGATCTGAAACGAAGTAAAGTGAAGAGAAGAAAATATAAAAAAATATAATCATACCTAAAATAATGAAAAATGTGTTTTACGCATCCAATCTCGATAAATATAAGAAACACAAGTATGATTAGAAGCTTGAGTATCGGGATAAAATAATAGATTTTAACCAAAGATAAATTTATTGGCAATTCTTGCACAATCAACTTACAAATTGGTCATAGAAATTCATTCCTAACTTACTAGTCTCTGAATCACACTAGTATTTACATTCTTATCGCTATAATAACGAAGGTTGCAATTTAATCTGCGATCCAAGATCGCCGGTCACTTTGAATCATATTATTTTTCTCGCTTGGTTCACTTCTGTTCAAGTTCCACGCTGACGAACACTTTTTTAATATTATTTTCCCTACCTATTCGCTGCTGGCCTAAAAATCTACTTAAGCTACGCCCGGACGGGTAGGCGAGCTCACGGGCTCAACTGTTTGCTAATACTAGTCCTAGCAAGAGCAGTGCTTCGCAGAATCTTCACTAGATCTGAATCGCGACCCACTGAGGAGATCCAGCGAGAAACTCAGAGGGCTATATCTACGAAGTGCTTATATGTCTCAGCCCCTAGAACTCAGCGAATCTCCCCAAAGTTCTGATAATACGTACTGTAAGGTCTTAAGAATCATTTTATGAATAGAATATGTTCATAGAATCATGCTATGAACGTTCGTCTGATCCATACTAGATAGTATTAGTTGTTGTGTTGTTTGTGTTCACTATTACTACTCGATCAAGCGGCGGTCCGCTCGCTTCCCCGCTCACCTTCCCGCGATCACCCTGTAGCGTCAGTACGGTTAGCATCTTTGTCATACGAGTTTTCGTCTCCTTAAACGTTGAATTTTAAATTTTTTAAACTGTTCTTGTTAGGGTTTTTGTTAAAATTTAGTTATATTATTGGACTATTTTTGTTAATTTTTTGTTAAACTGTTATTAAGTTACTGAACGCTTAACGTTCATTTTTTTTTTTACTTCGAGAGGCTTGTTGTGGACAACAAATTGAAAGGAAAGGTGATATACAGTGAAGGGAGAAACATAATCCTGAAAAAGAAACATAAAGGAAAATTATTACTGAGCAATTGGGATACATATTTAAAAAGTGCAAGAACACCCGGGTGGTCTTAATACAAAAACCCGATATCGCTATATTTTAATGTACCTAGATATAATATATTGTTAAAAACAATAAATGCAAAGTAAAATCTAACAAACATTTGTTTACATTTTTAAAGTCATAGCGAATCCTTTTTTAAGATCGTACTTGCGGCAGTGTGACGTAATCGATGCGAGGTGCAAACTTAGCTTGGTCGAGCTGTACCACAGAACACTATTACTTCTAGCGAAGAGCTATACTAAAGTGCCTTATTCACCATCCATCTTGCTGTACGTCCCGCCAAGGCCATGCACGATGCACGATGCAAAACGATCATGAATAGGCTTGACGTACGTCGATAATTATTATTAGTTGAGCTCACGGGGCTCAAACCTTACAATGTTGCTAACACGAACCCTAGCAAGAGCCGTGCTTCGCAGAATCTACCACCGGATCAGAAACGCGACCCACTGAGAAGATCCGGCGAGAAACTCAGTGGGCTGTGTCTGAGGGTTAATTTGCTCGTCGAGCCCTTCGTCGCAAGCGACGGGTTCGTCGTGTTTTGGGCGACGTCGACTGCTTTCCATTCTTTCCGCAGGATCGGGAATGCCTACTTTGTGTAATGCAATCACAGCGATTCGGTTCTCTTTATCACCCCACTCCATTTTAATATCGCAAAATATTGTGCAATGTATTGGCGCCAAAATGAGAAAACATAATGAGCAAGATAATCATATTATTATAAAAATGACAAATTCCAAATTCAAATGCAATATTTTGTTTATTTAAATTGTAATAGTATTTATGGCCAGACTAAGTATATAAAAAAATAAGTTGTATGCTGTGATACCTTTGCCTTTCCAGTTGAAAAAATAGAACTACTACTACTACAAACCCAATTTTTAGTGAGTAAACGAGAAAATGGAGCAATTAAATAACGAAGCCCAAACATCGTCTTCTGGTATTCCTAAAGAAGTAAGTTGTGTGTGTCATTGTAACAAAAACAATAATTTGTTTTTATAGAATGAAATGTGCGAGCTAGTTTGACGTGCAATGATTGCATGATTCAACGAAATTTTTACCGACTAAAAAAACGAGGTTCTCAATTCGTCTATTTTTTATGTGCTACCTCAGAACTATTTTCCGAGTAAACATTTTATATGATTCTTTCTTAACTGACAACTAGTGTTTCTCATGTGGTTTACATTTAAAGTTTATGAATTTCTGAGCAGTCATTATTAAGTTTTCTTTCGTAATGCATATTGCATGCGTTGATTTCAATTTATGCTACTCAGCCTTTTTTGTTTAATTTTCTTTTTTGTTAATATTTTGTCTTAAATTTCACAGGAAAATAGAGATATAGTTTTGGGCCATCGTTCTTGTAAAACATGCGATGCAAAATGGCTCTGTATTGAAAATGTTTATCAGAAATTCCACAGGCCTAATTATTATGACATTGGAGGTACATATTATTTAGAGGATTTACCAGATTTTTGGTTCACAAGTAAAACAGAACAAGTAGGCGATATATTCCTGCTGCATATATTCATCCAAAGATATTGTGAAGGATCATTCTCTATAAGTATTAGTTATGGCAGTGAAATGGAAATTGACAAAAAACAAAAAATAGTCCGGTTAACAAAGTCACTAAAGGAATATAAATTTGAAAACACCAGAGAAAACAGTAATTCCACACAAATTGAAGGTGAACCAGAGCTAGGTTGCTTAGAATATGTAAGCACTTACAATTTCTCTAATCTTGATGTTGGATTCATGAAAAATAAATCACTGTACATAGCCATTGCATTTCCCAGTCCGAAAATACTGAATCTGAATGTTTTTGATAAATTGTTAACAGTTCATACTTTTGAAGGATTACTCAAAAATTTGGAGGATGCAGATTTTACTTTAGTGTCTGAAGATGGAGAAAAATTCAGAGTGCATAAAGCCATTCTGGCTGCACATAGTGATGTATTCAAAGCTATGTTCAGGGAAGAGACAATTGAGAGTCAGAAGCAGTTGGTAAAACTTGTAGACGTGACTGCAGAAGATTTGAAATACTTGATAGAATATCTATATACTGGTTACCTAAAAAATTTAGAAAATGCCGACTTTGTCAACCTGCTAATGATAGCTGACAGATACAATCTAAAAGGCTTAAGACATCTTTCTCAGTGTGCACTTGCTGAACAGCTGACAATAGAAAATGCATTCTATATATTAGCAATGGCAGATATGTACGATTCTAATTATTTGAAGGCAGAATCGCTAAAGTTCATTAAAAAGAACAAAGACACTTTAAAAGTAAACACCTTCAAAGACATCACTAATGCAGAATTAGTAAGAGAACTTTTCACTTACCTTGTTGATGAAGACTAAGCCTAAATTTTTACCCTATTTTGTTAGAAAGTGTCCACTTTCTGTTTATTTACTGGTCTTCTAATAAAATTAATTTAAAGTATGTGTATGTGGCAGTGTCAATATATTTTATTGTCTAAGACAAGTTTGTGGTATAACCATTTAATGTAATAAAGGACAATATTATTGTCAAAAGTTATTTCATTATTAATAACCTATTTACACAAATAGAAAGAACATTAACAAAAACATTAATTACAGAAACGTAAAATAAACTTTAGCTTGAAATATGTTTAACATTATAAAATGTAAATAAAGATAATAATACAATTATTTTAAGAATACAGCTGTCAGCATATTGTATGTCAGTGGCTGCCGGCGTCACTGGCCGTCTGCTGAGCTCACGTCGTTTATTAAATCATTTTGGAATGTTACTTGATGTCTTCGTTTCTGCAGCAAACAAACATTTTCTTATTAAAATGTTAGTTCGGCATATTTCGTATTGTTAATTAGTTTATTGCTAGTTTCATTTATTTAAAACATCAATGTAAATATGTTTTGCTCAATTTCGATTTTGGAACCTTTTAAAAAAAATCAGCACATTTAAACATATAGCTTTATTTTGTTTAATCTATACAGGTTACCAAGGTAAGTGCTTTTATCTATGAATAGCAGAAGGATGGTTGACATGCAAGGGGAAGCAAGAAAAATGCCAATAATAATCTTAATATTTATTGATAATTGGAACCAATACAAGGGCAAAATAATGCATAAAACCCCCCCGTGGATAATATGGACTGCTCCAATATGTACCTACTTACCTACTTTATTCATCCTACTAATCCTGTTATAAAAAATAAAACTAAAAATTATAAAATTTACCCAAAAGTATAAAAAAAGATGAGACAGTGTGCAATGAGTCAAAATATATTCTACATGTTGAGTACAAAAGGCTACTTGAATTATACCAAATCTAGGCTCATATTTTTACACAATGAACTATCCTGTAATGATTTGAGATACAAGATTATTTGAAAATATAACACATCAAGCGTTTACTATCAGGACAATTTGTGTTTAAAACAAATGGTTTTAAACAAACTACTACTAATCAATAAGAACTGATTTATATATAATTAGTGAATACAGAAACAGCCTGTGCCACTCTTGTTATTGACGTTGTTATAGAGTGGAATAACAACTCTCCAATAATTACTTGCCATGTGGAATAAATAAATAAAAATATGTTTTAATGTATTAACTAATAATGCAATAACATTTGTTTTGTAGGAGCAATATCTAAGTTTGTGAAGTTAAAAAAACTTGTTTTTGTTTTTAAAGAATATTATTATTTTAAATCAGCTGTGTTGGCTTGACATTTTTTGATTTTTATTCAAGGAAGCTACCCTCCTAAATTAACTTTTTAGGTAAAGATTTAATCGTAATTTAACATTTTATTCTAGTGTCTAGATCCCCGTTCACGCATAGCTGGAATAGCCCTTTTGGCTACCACCAGCGTACATGTACGAAAAACATGTCTAGATCTAGTCTAAAATCCTAGTGTCTGACGAAAATGAACGGTCTGTGAGGTTTGCGGCAGATTGCGGGTTCTAGTACTAAACTAAAAAGCCATATGTGGTGGCTATCGGTGTGCAGAAACGTGCCGCCTAGTATCAATTTGTCGTCAGGCCTAAAATATAGTTTGGGCGCGGTGAATTCGGTTTAAAAGTTCATGAATTATGGTTATGCGTTAAATCAAAATAGCTTTTAGTTATTATGTTATGATTCTCCAACTAGGCTGCAAACGTTCTTTTTTATTCGAAGACTAATGTGTTCCTTTGATTATGCAGGCTTTCGGGTTATTATTCATATTGGCGTTTATCGTAATATATCGTAGGCGGAACATTTTGGACCGAAATAAAGATTCGAATTATTGGCCAAACTGAAATTAACAAAGCCTTCTTTATAAAAGGTAAGATAGATATATTTTTTATTGTGCAGTAATATTTGTTTCTATTGTTTCTTTAGTTATAGCAACGTGTCTAATCACATAATCTCGAATATGATTGAAACGAACACAAATTACTAGAAACATTTCTATTCAACTTCATGTTATTAATACATATTTATGAAGTAAAGTTAAATAACAATAAATTTTATTGAAAAAATTAATCCCATTTTATATAACGTTGCGTTACCCATGCTCGTATATTTTTAGAAATTCTTATCAATATCTTAACATTATAGTTCCTATTCCTAAGGACAATTAAATGTACGTGATTCCGACTGCAACATTTACGATCGGATCCAAAATGTTCCGCGATGTGTGTTGAGTCGGCGCGGCTGAGGCCTAACGTTTACCGTTGTTGTACGACAGGCTGCGCTGCGGCGGCTTGGAGTTCGCAGCCGCCTGCTGGATTTGGTAGGCGAGCGGGTGAATCTTGAACCCGTATAGTCTGAAAGAAAACAAAGCTACAAACAACAGGAAATTATCTTATGAAAAATTACTCCACATAAATTAAATCTATTAAAGGTATAAATTATTGATGTTTTACACATTTATCATGTTCTCATGGTAGATTCTGCCTTCAGTGGTAGTGGTATTGTGTAAATTGAGAAAAGATGGGTGGGTATCTTCATTTTTAATATAATACAACAATGTGAGTGATAATTTGCATAGTAGATAGGACGACTGTTATGACAAACAATTGTTATGAATTTTAGTTGTATTAATGAAAAGAATTCGCCTACCTTGGTACGAATTGAGAGGCAGGTCGTTTTGGTCGTTTATCGGGGTGCACCATGAACACCATGTGCGGGAAGCCGGTGCCGAAGTAAGCGCCGTCGGTGTGGTGGTGGCGCGAGGATTTGGGCGTGTACACGTCCATGCAGCGCGGGCAGTACAGCTTCACCATCGCTTCGGCGGGAACGTCCGACAAACCTAAATAAGGGTAATGAAGGGATTCAGAAAGTTCTAAAAAGTTAGTATCGCTCAGTACTGGGTCGACAGTCGTGGATTGGGTTCGATTCCCACTTCGGGCATAATATTCAACTGACTAACAGGTTTATTTACTGTGTCTGAGGTGATATATAGTGATTATTTAAAACATGCCACATATTGGCTGGCTTGGCTGTATGGTACCAACATGGGAAAGCAATACCTTTTCTAGGGTGTTGTATAAGGCATCTAAGGGACTCATTGAAGAACGAGCAAGCCCCACATTCTCAGTGTTATACTAGAGATCACCAACTAACACTTGTTGTTGGGAGGGTGTACTGAGGAAGACCTTTGTCAAGTAGTGGATGATTGTCAGCTGATAGATAGATAGGGTAGAGCGTGCTAAAGAGTCGATGATATATAGATAATCTGTAAAAAAATATTAACCTCCTTTTGCAGTCATGTAAATATAAAATTCTAAAACTTACCAATTGGCAGCATAGGTTGGCATTCACAGTATACACGTGGGCAATATCCAAAATCCCCAGACTGGAACTTATCCAACATTTGACTAATGCCCCTACAAACAAATACACACATATAAGATGTTATGGTTGGTTTGACCTGAAACATGATGTACTTGTATTGAGCTATATAATTATGTTGGTCCTGATACGCCGCAGGAAAATGCCAATTGTTTTTTTAAATAAATTACATATCTAAACTATTACTACCACCACCCTGAAGGAATAACAGTGCCAGTGCATCTTGTGAGACCACCACCAACTCTCCCCATTTATGCTGCAGAGCAGTAATGTGTTCCAGTTTGGTAAGCGGGACCGTCCTATATACTATGCAATTTAAACTGACTTCTCATCTTTAAAGGTTAAGTAGCATTCAAATTTTGATATCTAAGCACTCTGGTAACTATTTAAGCCAGTTTTTAAATTCCATTTTCTAAACAAAAAAAGATAGGAACCATTTTTTTCCAGTAGTACCTGTAGACTTGTACTGTTATAGTTTTGTTGTACCAGAAATTTGTGAAATTTTATTACAACAATAACCCTAGTCGGTTATATGACTGTGGCATTGGAAATGTAGTGTAGCTTAAGTTAAGTTATTATCTTGGGATATAAAAAAAAAATTTTTAATATTTAGTAAAGACCCCTTTTGAGTACTCATTACTATTATTTATCATTGATGCACTTAATTTTTTTTATAATTTGTTTTATCATACTACATTAAAAGTATTAAAGACAATAATTAACATACAATGTAATGCAACTCACCTATTGGTCAATATGTACCGGGCATGTATCAATCCATATAGTATCTCCGATGCTTGTTCCACCAGATCAGATTCATTTGGATTGTCTTCAATGTCATCATCTGAAACATTTAGATTTAATGAACATTTACAATACAACATTCTCATTTATGATGATTCTGATGAATGCAGAATTTCATAAATGAGAATCATGTAGAAACATACAGTTCTTTGTTTTAGAGAAATCTATTTAAATAATGGCATGCAACAAAATGTCTGCAACTTTCATTTTATATTTGATTTTCAATAGTACTTTACAATTAAGTTGAGAAGGAAAATTATTGTTAACTGATCACCTGGCTCCAGATCCAGAATCATGTCCAGCGCCTCTCTATAATGTGGAACTTGCTCATTTAAGCCGGTTAGATTAAATTTATCATTTATGTAGTCTTCGTCAACCTGCACAAGATATAATATTATGACGATCAATAAGGTAACATTTTATTACAGCGATCGAATAGTCGAGACTCACCTCACAGAAAAACTCATTGCCTCGAAGCGTGCAAAACCAAGCGATCCAGGATACCTCCTCGGAGCTGCTCATTTTTCTAATAAAACAATCATATTAAATTAGGTATGTGGGACGAAAGAATCACATAAATACAATCAAAACTTCAGACCCGCCACACGTTGCTGTTACAACAAATTTTATGCATTCCTATGTTATCACCTGTTATTTTATGTCTTCAAAGCTGTTTTTCACAATTTCACAGTAAATTAACGAATTTGGCAAAGATTTAATGCGATTTTTTTCGCAGTAATCATGGAATATTGAGATAAAATGACGACAAACCTCACCTTTTCGTGCCTTGATTAGCCACGCTTGACGGGAGGATACACCTCTTGGAAAGAGGGAGAGAGAAATTGCAAATTTCAGTGTGTGCGTACGGAATATGAATAGAATGATTTTGTCGATGCTCTAGTCTATGATCTGAGAAAAATATTAATCTCTATATTTTCATGTCCACAGTCAAATTTTTTCCTCGAATGGTCGGTGTTTCACATCTATATACTATATAGTAAGTAAAAGCTGCTATATGATTAAGTAATATGAAAATTTCGTGGTGTATGACCTTTTTTCATAGAAGTGTAAAAGGACCGAATCCCGTGAACTGCAATATTTTATTTATTGATGTTTGTTAATAATGGAGGTATGTAACAGTTTAATATTTGTGACAGTTTAAAACTAACTTGTAGACGTTGCAGAAATGGCACAAAAGAGCTGCACTTAAGTAATCACTGAGGTTCTAGTAAAAATTCCAGTAATGTGTTACTGTTAAACTCCTATGTTAAATATTAATATTGTAATAAATTTTAATGAAGAATAAAACTTTCCTAGCGTCTTTGTTTCGTCGTAGGCTACCATTTAATAGTGACGTCTGTGTAGGAAAGAATCCGTTTCCACCGTGCGGTATTCGGTACATGATTATTCCAAAAGTTCAAATTCGGGGATAACAATTCTATAGCAGTGCTACAATAATAAAAAAATGGAACATACTTAATTAAATGCGCTCCGCTGGAATGGTCAACTGGGTAATAGTATTGTTATCAACCTCGACATAGCTGTGCAGGTGCTGCTTGAGGTCTTAAATTAGTATATTATCTATGCTTGTATCGGCCACCTGCAGAGAACGAGCTGTACCGTGTTTATTCTGCCGTGAATGTCATGCATTTCACCGGTCATCGTTCTCGTCGAACCCGTCACTTGCGACGAAGGGCTCGAGTAAGTTAACCCACAGACACAGCCCACTGAGTTTCTCGCCGGATCTTCTCAGTGGGTCGCGTTTCCGATCCGGTGGTAGATTTTGCGAAGCACGGCTCTTGCTAGGGTTCTTGTTAGCAACGTCGTCAGGTTTGATCCCCATGAGCTCACCTACTAATTACCTATAGTTACGCTGAAATAGCCTATCAAGGCTATCCGCTTAGGTAGGAAAAAAAATGCGTTTCAATATGAGGATAACGCCAGCTGTACACGGTCGTCGAAACACCACGAGACAGGTCGAGGACGAGTGTGTAGAGTAAGATCCTAGGGCCAGCAGACGTCACGTATTTTCTGACGAACGAAATGTGGCCGATCGCGTAGTGTTAGTTTTTTTTTTTTAGATGGGTGGACGTGCTTACAGCCCACCTGGTGTTAAGTGGTTACTGGAGCCCATAGACATCGGCAACGTAAATGCGCCACCCACCTTAAGATATAAGTTCTAAGGTCTCAGTATAGTGACAACGGCTGCCCCACCCTTCAAGCCGAAACGCATTACTGCTTCACGGCAGAAATAGGCGGGGTGGTGGTACCTACCCGTGCGGACTCCCAAGAGGTCCGACCGCCAGTGATTACGCAAATTATAATTTTGCGGGTTTGATTTTTATTACACGATGTTATTCCTTCACCGTGGAAGTCAATCGTGAACATTTGTTGAGTACGTATTTCATTAGAAAAATTGGTACCCGCCTGCGGGATTCGAACACCGGTGCATCGCTACACACGAATGCACCGGACGTCTTATCCTTTAGGTCACGACGACTTCAACTAAGTCGTCGTAGTATGTACTAAGAACGCATGCCTGCCTGCTAGCTTGCTTAAACGGCCAATTTTCAAGTATCAGGTAATCAAGGTACCTACATAAAAACATTACGTACCTCACGTAAATTCTCAAAGCTGATTTTTACGTATATTTTAGACAATATCCTTAAAAATAAGTCGCTAATACTCCCAGACACTTTCCGTCGGCCGAATTGCTTTGCAGACGCTTTAAAGCTTCCAAAAGAATTACGTAACGTCACTTAAATTCTGATGCTCCATTTTTATTTATGTTCACCAGACAACTATTATAAAACCTCTTACAAAAAGACAGACCGATCCAAAGGGCCAACCATCCCCTAAATTCAATTTAAGTACCTCTGTGGGTAAGAGCGCGAGGGCATTATCCACGGAAAAGATAAATAATTTATTTATTCCGTGGCTTTATCCACGCGCATGAGACTGAGTGAGACATGTATTATGATTTAATGACTTCTCTGTCTCTCTATCTCTCTCTTACAGTTGACTCGTATCAAATAATTATTAAATTAAAAGAATGTCAGTTAAAATTTATATATAATTAACGAATATAATAATTAACGAAATCGAAAAAAATCGTTACATATAATTGAAGTTATACTTCTTTAGGCGCGTTATGAAAAATTGATGAGAGTAAAATTTTACGATGCGCGCGCACCGTGACACAAAATTAACAGAATGAAGTTGCCCCCTGAATCGCTCATTACAATACGACCGACGTAACTTGGCAAGTCTGAATATAGCCGCAGGTGAACTTTCCGAACCATTTTTTTTTTCCTAGCTAAGCTGATAGCCTTGAGAGGCTATATCAGCGCAACCTTAACTAGTAGGTGAGCTCTCAGGGTTCAAACCTGACGACGTTGCTAATACGAATAATAATTTACTCGTCGAGCCCTTCGTCGCAAGCGACGGGTTCGACGAGAGCGGTGACCGGTGCTTGAGGTACCTAAAAGCACCGTTAGTGGATCGGGAGGATGTGTTTGGGGCGACGTCGACTGCTTTCCATTCTTTCCGCAGGATCGGGAATGTAGTTACCGGCGGCCACGATGAGAGGGTTCTCGTGTCGTGCCGCTTTATCGAAGTAGTCCGAACCGTACCGAGAACTACCGAATTTATACGATGTGAAGAAAAGGGATGTCCAATATGCGTGTTTGAGGATGTTGTTTAATCGATTTTTTTTCAAATTGATTAAAATTTAGTTAAAAAAGAAAAATAATTAAATTTAATAAAAATAAAGTATAACTTCTTACGCGAGTACATAAGTACACGCACGTTTTTTATATAGGGCCAATTTCCATATATAATGACTTATATATAATTTTTTTACCCGGGAGGATAAAATTCAAGAATTATGGTAGTCAACTGAGCATTTTTTCAACTTAATTTTCAATTATTTACCTGATTATTTAAATTTTAACTGATTTTCTTTTAATATTAATAATTAATTGATATGAATTGAATTGAAGTCGTCATGGCCTAAAGGATAAGACGTCCGGTGCATTTGTATGTAGCGATGCACCGGTGTTCGAATCCCGCAGGCGGGGAAGAATTTTTCTAATGAAATACGTACTTAACAAATGTTCACGATCGACTTCCACGGTGAAGGAGTAATATCCTGTAATAAAAATCAAACCCGCAAAATTATAATTTACGTAATTACTGGTGGTAGGACCTCATGCGAGTCCGCACGGGTTGGTACCACCACCCCACCTATTTCTGCCGTGAAGCAGTAATGCGTTTCGGCTTGAAGGGTGGGGCAGCCGTTGTCACTATACTGAGACCTTAGAATTTAAATCTCAAGGTGGGTGATGCATTTACTTTGTAAATGTCTATGGGCTCCAGTAACATGTAACCTAAATAAACTTAACACCAGGTGGGCTGTGAGCTCGTCCACCCATCTAAGCAATAAAAAAAAAGATATGAGTCAACTATAAGAGAGTGAGAGAGATAGAGAGAGACAGAGAAGTCAATATATCCTAATACACGTCTCACTCAGTCTCACGCGCGTGGATAATGCCCTCGCGCTCTTACCCACAGAGGTACTTAAATTGAATTTAGGGGATGATTGGCCCCTTGGATCGGTCTGTCTTTTTGTAAGAGGTTTTATGATAGTTGTCTGGTGGACATATATAAAAATGGAGCATCAGAATTTACGTGAAGTTACGTAATTATCTTGGAAGCTTTAAAGCGTCTGCAAAGCAATTCGGCCGACGGAAAGTGTCTGGGAGTATTGGCAACTTATTTTTAAGAATATTGCCGAAAATATACGTAAAAATCAGCTATGAGAATTTACGTGAAGTACGTAATGTTTTTATGTACCTTGAGTACCTGATACCTGAAAATTGGACGTCTAAGCAAGATAGCAGGTAGGCGTACGCTCTTAGTACATACTAACACTATGCAATCGGCCACATTTCGTTCGTCAGAAAATACGTGACGTTTGGTGGCCTGGCCCTGGGATCTTGGACTAACATGGGACCCTCGTCACGTCTTGTGGCTTCTTGTTCGCTCTAGAAAGCGTGTCGATTTTTGCGCTCGAGTTAAAGGGCAGTCTCGCGGTGAAAACGAGAGTGCGCCTGTACACAATCGTTCGCTCAATGGTCCGCCAACTGCGTCAGGTTCTTCTAGGTCCATCGCAACAGGCATCCGAAGTTCAATTTATACGAGTGTGTACATGGTGTGGTCTCGTGGCGAGCTTATACGCGACGAGAGGCACACGAGACCACGAGACGAGAGGCACACGAGACAACGAGACGAGAGGCACACGAGACAACGAGACGAGAGGCACACGAGACAACGAGACGAGAGGCACACGAGACAACGAGACGAGAGGCACACGAGACAACGAGACGAGAGGCAAACGAGACAACGAAACGAGTGTATAGCCGGTATTAGCAGCAATTAAATTAAGCAATTAGGACATAGACCTCATGTCTCGAAGTGGTTGTCTGCATTCGCAATGTTAGTGGTTCTAGTAACTACTTCACACTATAATGGGAGTGAGCTCGTTCATCAGTCTATGGTAAAAAAGTTTATTTCCTTTTGTTTATAATTTATAAAACTTATGAAAATACTAGGCTCTCTCACATGTACACAGTGTTGATTCATCAATGATGTAGGTACTCAGCTGTTTACATATTAATATTATTATACTCTATGGAGTTTGTACCTATTTTCTTTTTTTTCTTAATCACTAAACCAAAACAAAGGACTGTTATAGTTATGTATAATTTATTTATGTATTAACAATTATATAGTCTATAAAATATTAAATTAAAGTATGTTAGAAAAACAATAGAATGAGTTGCCAATACTGACTCAATAGTACTTTTCGTCGCTTTATAATCTCCCTAGCATGTACAATACAAAAATAAGAATTAGCATGTTCAATGTAATAATTTACTACAGAATTTTTGTGTACCCTGATACACCGCATATGGCTCAGGAATGAATTATTATTTTCCAAATATCTGATTCCTAAAACATATGCTTTAATGGATAGGAACTGAGATTGAATTTAGGGGTTTCAATCCTAATTCCTAATGCTAGATTAAGTATTTATAATACATATTATTATATTAACATAATTCTTTGTACTATAAGCTTGGCATTTTCTTTAGTATTCATGATTCAAGTTTCAAATACAGTTATTATGGACATGAATGTCTATGTTTTGATTTCACTGTGCTATTTTATTTAAAAATATTTACACACGTAAAGAACTAGCAATATCTTGAGGTCTGGCAGTTTGTATAACTTGGGTGTTCATATTCACAAATAAAGTGATTCCACCACAGACTGAAACACATTAGTTCAAGAAGCATGGATTATAGTATAAAAATAGTTTAAATTTTCAATAATCTGTAGAATTTGACTTGTTTGCAATCTAATATTTATGAAGTAATTTTATCCTATTCTTTAACAGTGTTGGTACTATGTGTTGGAAAATTGATAGAGAGCTTTAACCACTTCTGCATTGTTTAATTCTTTCCAACTTTTAGTCTTCAATACTTGTGGATTATTCTTAATAAATTTGAAAACAGTTTGCTTCAGGTCCATCAAATTGTGATTCATGGCTATCTTGACCATATCCACTGCGTTGTTTACATCTATAACTCTTACTAGAAGTAATTGAATCAGTGTGTCCAGAGACTTTATTTGATATTTATCATATATTTCCAGTAATTTCTGACCTAATTCTGCCATTGAAAAACCTTTTAGCTCTTTAAGGGTTCCAGTGTATATAAATTCAAGTAAAATTTCAATTTCCTCATTGTCAGTATCCAAATTGATACAATTTGATTTAGAATCTCGTGCTTTTGCTCCGATTACTGGGCTCTGGGCAGTTAATATTAATTTGTGAACTGGATATTCCTTACCACTTTTAGATATTAGAACATAATCAGGTTTTTCTTGCTTTGAAATTGAAGTTACTATATCAAAGTCAAATCTGATTGATCTCTCAATTTGCTCATTTAGTGCTATGCTTTGATCAATCTTGATACACAAAGGAATGAGCAATGTACTATTTCTTAAGTTTTTTAAGTCTTGGAGAGTGAAAGCATAAGTTTTGATGTAAAATTTTTCATCTTTCAATGTACTCTTGTAATAATACCAGGACATATTATTTTGAAGAGTTGTCTCTTTGTATTGGCTTTGTTTATTGTGCGACATTTCACTTGAGTTTGGTACTCCGAGGGCAAAAGTCCCGCTTTGTCTATGACACACAAACAAATTCAACAAGTAAACATGTTTAGGACACATAGTTGTGGTGTAGTAAAACCAAAATTCTGGCTTATCTTTTCTGTATGCACCCCCTATGTCATAGTTATTTTCATTGCTAAGTTTAAGGTCCGCATCCATAATGCAAAGGTGTGTGGCTTCCGTAGATTGACATCTGAACATAGTAGATATGTAAGCATTCTCTGGCTGGAAAAATAGGCTAATTTAATACTACAATAGTTTGTGTTAGATTAGTTTGTTATTGATGGTATGTGAAATTTTTAAATTACTTTTTTTTCAAAAGTATTAGATAGTTGTTTACCTTATTTTCGGCTTCGAAGTCTTCTTCGATACTTTCCTCTATATCGTCCAACATATGAGACGCATCTATATCGTCAAACAGCAAAGCCATCGCTTGTTATTTACTTTTTATTGATTCTGTGCATCAAAATTATTAATGAAATACTTATACAGTATAATTTAAACTTAAAGATATATAATGGCGCGTGTAGTATGTGTAAATTTTAACTATTTGACGGCCCTTTTTCTATAAACGACCAAAACGTCATTTTATGAATCATGTTGACTAACCATAATAACCTTTAAAAATTCTGTAGTCAAAAATAAAATAAAACAAAACAATTTTTTTACTTCAAATTAATCAAACACAAAACTCTCTTAAAATAATAACAAATGTTTTAGACATATTGTAATGGGAATAAATTATGTACATACTTATGTACCTACCCAAATAATCAGAAATTAACGAATAACTATGTATCACAGACTATATAAAGGTATGAATCAGCCGATTCAGCCGAAACTTACGATTAAGGCTAAGTTCATATGACAGCGTCGTACCGCGCGTCACCGCGCGGTCGAAGCGTTCACATGTCAGAATATGTACGCGCGACAGTCTGACATCGACATTGGAAAATAGAACTTGGAAGAGGCAATGTGATTATGGATTTTATACCGAAAACTGAGACGTCGGAGAAGCGAACAAAGACGATACTGGGTGCATCTATTTTAAGTGAGATTTTCATTTTTTGTAACTTTATATCCCAACCTGAGACAACACGAAGAATTTTTTGTTAACTACTAGACATGCGCAAAACATCACTTCCCAATGTAATGTGATATGACATCACTTTTACAGACAGGTGATATTACTCGAAAACATTACACATCACTCATAACATTACTCGGTGCGTTCAATAGATACTGTGACGACGAATACATTGTATCTATACACCCGAATCATTACTTAAGTGATGTGTTGATACACATCACTTAGGTAATGATTCGGGTGTGTCATTACAGTAGTGTATTACAATACAAAGTATGAACTTTGTATTGTAATACACTGTTATATTACTTGACAGAGATTGACTTACTTAATAATATAATAATTTTATTTTTTACTTAATATAATTTATTGTGGGATGAACGGATTTCATATGGCGACTTAGACTGCAAATTGAGCTCGACAATAATGTTAATATACGAGAGCAGTAGATGCATTGTTTCGGCGCGATATCCTCAAAGTGCATCCAAGGAGGACTGTACTTTCATTTAGACGCCGTTATTTCTTTCACTTATTAAACACGCATTAAAACAAATAATAAAACTATCTTCAAACAAGTGCTTAAGTAATTCAAATCAAACACAAAAATTAATATGAAATATTACTAAACAATTACGAGCGACTAGCGATTTTACAAAAGTTGCGAATAAAAAATTAAGTAAGTACTTGCGGGGAGCTACCGGCTGGCCGCATGAAAAATATAAACACAAATACCTATATTAAAATTCAGACGTACCATAGGTATAAAAATGTACCTAGCGGCCAGGACATACGGTTCAAAATCACTAGGAATAATTCCGTGTCGCTTGCTCATTTATTTTGCGTCGATCGGTCTGTCTCGCTCGCTCGGTTCCGTTCGTGTATTAAGGAACATTACACGACAAAGAAAGAAACATGTTGGGTGATAGTGTGATGTTTGTTTCCTTCGCGTAATGTGTGATGTTGCATTACATCGTAGGGTAATATTACCCGAGTAATATCACTCGCATTACTTACACATGTCTATTAACTACTTTAGGATGCCAGTTGCATCTTTTGATATCCTAAATGCTTGCGTTGCAAACTGAACAGGTCAAAACAGTTATGTAGGACTAGTACCGTGCGTGGTACAAGAACTGGCGCGCGGGTCGTAGCGCACCGCGCGTTATCGCGCGTTTATATGAACTTAGCCTAAAAAAGAGCTAATAGGTTACGTGACTTATCTACATAAACATAGTATCTATATTAATATGTGGTCTGTGAAAAAAAATCCATTGATGTTGTTTGTTTCGTATAATTTGGCAAATTGGGTAGGTAAATAAAACCAAGCAGCCAATCCTTTTAATTTAAGTGTATAATCTATGAATACAACTGTAGCTTATAATTTAATTGAAACTCGTAAAGGCTTCGCCTGAGAAACTAATTTTTTACATAAAGTATTGAATTTTCTAATATTTATTATAGTATTATAGTTAGCAAATTCCGTAAGTACTTAATCTCAATCTTTAATATATCATCGCAGCAAAAACATGATCTTTTATTTAATTCTAGCTGACCTGGCAGATTTCTTGTGCCTCAATCGATAAATAAAAGACCTAAATTTTTGTATAAAATAAATTTAAATCAAACTAAAGGAATCCGTCCGACGGGGGACACATCAAAGAAAAAACAAAATTGTTATTTTTATTCAATTCCGAGAATTTTCATATTTATCTACCTTTTAAATCTTTTCTGGATTTCCACAAATTATTCAAGACCAAAATTAGCCAAACGGTCTAGCCGTTCTCGAGTTTTAGTGAGACTAACAAACAGCAATTAATTTTTATATATATAGATTACTGTAACGAAGCTAAAATGTTTTTGACGACATTTTTGTTTATTAAAAAAAAATCCCCAAGTTAAGAGCTTATTTTCAGAGATAAAAAATGTTTGTATCGATGGATACGATTCGGTGTAGCAATGTAGCGACGCTGCCAGCTTTTCCTTCTTCTCCTTCTACTCCTTTGAAGTCTTACTGCCACGCTATCAATTTTTCTTTTTGGTACCTAATAGTACCTAATAATAATCACTGCTACACACTAGTATACTGGATGGCGGTTCTTTCTGAAAAAAATCGATTTTTAAATCGATTAGAATCGTAACCTAATGAAGCGATTCACAAAAAAGATTGATTTCTACACATCATTATTTTTTCAAGTTTGCATTTACAAATTATATATAAATCGGTTTTATTAAAAACAAGAAAGATTTCATTATAAACGATCTTTTGTCAGTAAAATCAGGTAATTCGATAATAATAAGTGTTTTTAGTGCTATCTCAGGTATAAAAGAAAACATTTACTTTCTAAAACATTAAAAAGTTAAGAAAATAGATGATGTTGCTTATAGTTCTAAATATTTAATATCTAAGCTTTTTAAAAACGACAGCCTATCAAGTCTACCAGGATCCAGGCGGTTCCGCTCATTACTTGTTATGTTGCCGACAATTGAAAAAAGGCGCTCAAAAAGAACAGATGCTTTCGTGATAATCTCATATTACATCATGTCTATTGAGTGAACGTGGTGATAATTACAGTTTTTTTGCTAGTAAAGCTTAGCATCATACTTCAGGTGCACAACTGCCTGTTATAAACAGTGTTAAATTTCTTAGTTTAAGCCTTGACTTTCTAGAACAAGTGTATTAGTTGTAAAGAGTTGCATTTTCACTAGTAACTAAATAAAATCACGGGTTACTATTATTTTGTGAAAACTGTGATTTAATGTCTAAAATTAAAAGTATTTGTTTCATTTATTGCTCCATAACAGAGTAATTATAAATAATTGAACGGTTTATACTAAAAGAGATTTTTTTTTTCGTACCTAAGCTGAGAGCCTTGAGATGCTATATCAGCGTAGCCTTAACTAGTAGGTGAGCTCACGGGGCTCAAACCTGATGACGTTGCTAACACGAACCCGTTTTGTTTTTTCGGGCCGGGGGCCGAACCTCCTACGATGTCCCCGCGCCTAGGGGGCGCGTGGGGTATGTGGGACTTAACAATCTGCAAGGTGTTGTGAGCAGAACACGGGCCCAAGGAATTTTAGGGCCCACCCACTAAACGACTCCCCTGCACTCTTCGCCCAAGCGTCCGATCCCCTCCGAGGTCGGAACCCGTATGAGGTAGGGGGGTTACCGCGGTCAACACTACAACCAGACAGCGCGGCTCACCCCAAGGACGCCCAGCGGTCGGAACCTTCGAGACGAAACGAAGGCTCGAATTCAAGGGTAAAATATCGATTAAGTAGTAAAAATCGTTTTAAAAATCAAGCTTTTTGGACCGAAAAATCGGTTCTTCAATTAATCGATCTTAGATCGCCATCCCTATCTAGTACACTGTAGTCGGCTAATATCTCCACTTGGTGGTGAGAACTGAGCTTATATAATAACTAAACCTAATACGTAGTAACTAATTTATTAATCTGTGATCTAAGTGCAGATTTCCGGTCTTGTTTCTTTACTTCTTCAGTAATTAATAAAAACTTCTACATTAGTAATGTTACTAAATAACGGTACCCGTGACCATATTATTTTGTTAAAACAATGTGATTATTAGTTGCTCTCCCCCCTCCCCCCTTTCTATCTCCCCCCTCTGCCCCCTCTCTCTAATTTTTTTTTTTTTTTTATTGCTTACATGGATGGATGAGCTCACAGCCCACCTGGTGTTAAGTGGTTACTGGAGCCCATAGAAATCTACAACGTAAATGCACCACCCACCTTGAGATATTATAAGCTCTAAGGTCTCAAGTATAGTTACAACGGCTGCCCTACCCTTCAAACCGAAACGCATAGTGCTTCACGGCAGAAATAGCCAGGGTTGTGGAATCTACCCGTGCGGACTCACAAGAGGTCCTACCACCAGTAGAAAATTATTATTATAATAAAAAAATAAAAAATTATTAAAAATATATAAAAATACTACTATATAAAAGTAAATAAAAATTTATATACAAAAGTACTAGAGTGGAGACCTCGTACCGGACGTCGTAATGTGGGCAGACTACCAATGAGTCGGACCGACGACCTGGTCAAAATAGCTGGTAGGGCCTGAATGCGAAAGGTAAGAGACCGAAAGAAATGGGTGCACATGAAGAGATCTACGCTCAGCATTGGGTGGACACGGGTTGAAGAAGTGATAGCTTGTTTAATTATTTTAAGTAATATGATTTCTGGAGAATTGACATTTTTTTTGTTTATCCCTTAAATCTTAATTCGTGTTCTTCATCGTTCCCTCACTGCTGAGGATCGCGACCAGATGTGACATTCCTACATAGTGTTCGGTCATGGGTGGCATGGACCGCATGATTTAAACTACTATCAGCCGCTTTCTTAACCAGATCCGACCATCTGGATGGTGTTTCTGAATCTTAATACATAAACTTTATTGTAGTTCACATTAACGATCGTTACGTTATTATTATTATTATTATTTTATAAAGAAATAGCTCCAACGTCTTAGGCATTGACAGTTTATACAAAAATGATAGGTGGTTAGAAAAAAAATTAATCTAAATACATAAATAAATTTGATCAGTTTTTCCATACGCGAATTTGTGGTTTTAAGAAACACACACACACACTACTGACTACTTTAAGTGGAGCACTAAACCTTGAGCTTGTTGACAACTTTATTTACCTAGGCTTCAACATTAACAATACCGGATCCAGCGAACGAACAGCGAACCCACTTGAGGGACATTGCAAGAAGTAGATTCCTGTCAAAACATGATGGTCACGACCCTCAGCAGTGAGGAAACGACGCGAGGAGGAACTACTTTAAAGATAAATATAATTATTAGATAAAAATTTACATAAAATATTTACATGTTTAGACTAATATGCTAAAGTTAATAGAACATTAATATTAATAGGATGGGGGATGTCTTTTGAAAGGATATTATAAAGAGGGGACACGGTATTGGGGCAGTCGAAGAAAATGTACGGCAGGGTACCCTCATCTAATCTCCACTCACAAAGAGAATGGTCTCGGACTGTAATTTAGGCAAGAAAAAGTGGGGAGCGAACATGGCCAAGTTTTATACGGATAATAGTGTAGACAATTTTTTTAGGGAGATGGCAGTGCGAGGAAAACCAGCGTTTATAGAGAAGGATCGGTTGCAAGTTACCTTAATGCTTACCCACTGACTGACGATAAAATCTGTTAGTTTTCATTCCAAGATCGAAGCATATCAGGTTTTGCGAAGGAATGTAAATCTCGTGGAAAAATATTATTATACTTGTTACAGCCCATGACAACAGCCTCCTTGGCACAGGAGTCAACAAACTCATTTCCACTAATTCCGCCATGACTCGGGATTCAGATGAGATCATCACGTTTTTGCTTTCAGATAGAAGGACAAACCAACATACATACTTCGCACTTGTAATACTGCGTTATAATTATAATTACGCCATCAGTTACATACTATTGATTTCGCTTGCATTTATTAAATTATGACAAAATGCAAGACTTAAGAAGGTTTTTATTTTTAGTCGCCTACATCTGAAAACGGTCTTAAACAGTTATCACCATCGACGTCCAAATTCTTTGCTACTAGGGGCCAGTTGTGGCAACTAGTGACGACTTCGCTACGGGTTCACAAATTCAGAAATCGAGATATATATCTGTCAGTAATCAGTGAAAGAAAGATTATGCACGGCGCATGCGCCACCCGGGATCTGCTCCGGAACTGCCTGGTACCACCCCCTTGATAATAGTGTCGGAGCACAGTCGATACTCGTGTTAAAAATACGCGACATCTAGAATACCAATTGCAGATTTAGTTGTTTAGATGATTTCATTTAATGTAAACGTTCCGGAATCGGTTTGAAATTTTTGTAAATATTAGGTACCTATATCATTTAACGCAATGTTTTGTTTGAATATAGTTGGGTTTCACGTTTAATTAATACATTTCTTACGCTAGAGCTTGGATAATCAATACAGGGATCATAAATGTGAATATGAAAGTATGGACCTTCTGATCTTCTTTGGATGAGGTTTAAAAGGATGCGGTAGATAATTACTTGGCTGTGAGATTCTGATATGAACAATACGCCTGTCTGCGCAGGAGGTCAGGTCAATAAAGAAAGCAAGCGACCTCATGAACTCACAACGAACTCTCAACTAACATGACTCGTATAGAGTGATGCGACGACATATTCGTGTTCAAATTTTCATGATTGATTTAGTTATAAAGTAAAGTATGTAATAAAATAGTCTTATTTTGCCCCAGCATCTTTCATGACTTCGGTTTTGACGGACGACAGTGAGGCAATGTTAATGGGATTACGATCTCTTACCTCAAGGTGGGTGGCGGCATTCTATGGCCACTAGTAGTTACTGAGCTGTAGGCTGGCGTTTACTCCTGTCCATACAGATAAATGATCAAAACTAAAATTGTTTACCGTTTTCCAGGGTAAATCAGGAAGAAGATAGGGTCGAATATAATTTGGAAATCCAGAAAATTTTTTGAACTTCTTAATTGTCACATAAAATCTGTTTATCGATATCGACTAACAAAGTTAAACAATGAGTTCTCCTTACTCCATTGCAGCCTTTTCAAGGTCGCATCTCAGTCGGCTGCAAGCAGCCCCCGCAGTCGCACGATGCGACACGTACAATGACGACACGCGGCCGGGACGACACTGTCGAGTTGTTGCCGCTCAAATCCGCTCTGGTCAACAACAATTACAAGGAAGATGATGTATACTACGCTCCCAATCAGGCCGTAGTTGACAATCCATCGAGCGGCAGCTCCTACGAGTACACGTTCCTGTCAAAACGAACGCCTGCTTCTAAACGGTATGTTCTTTTCTTTTGTTTTTGTTTTAAAGACCATGCAGAAGAAAGACCCGAAGATATTACGGGAAGTTGTTATCATTTAATTCTAGACTGATACTGATTGACGCTAATATAAATTTTAGAGATAGTTTATCAACTTTTTTAGTCATGAAGATGGGCAGGTGGTCATGTAGAAACCAATACTCGAATGACACACAATCACACCAACTTATCAAACTGAGATCGTGGTCTCCTTTGCATTGGATAACAGTTATCATACGACGTTCAGCGGAATTTTTAATATACTGCAGTATGATCTCGAACAATGCTAAAGACGTTTAAGCCTCATTTTAAAAATATAATGTTAGCTCAACGTATAGGTTGTTTAATTATAAGTTACGTTTGTTTAAACTTTATGATTTATACAAATAAGCACATTTTTATTTTTGTTGCATAAAATGAAACGGTTAGCGTGGTATGGAGATGTAATGCGTAGACAGGAGATGCATGTGACTAGGAGATGTATGGGAATGGTAGTGCAAGGTAGATGGGGAAGAAATCGACCAAAGAAGACGTGAATGTGTGAATGATGATATGAGAGAGAGGAGTGAGTGTGAAGATGACGGCTGATCGAAGAGAAGGGAATAGAAAAATTCGCTGTGCCGACTCCACCTATGGGGTAAGCTGGAGACAAAGAAGAGAAGAAAATAAAACCAATAGCATCATCTGAGATAAGACTTGAAAAGCACCTACTGACTTTGAAATAAGAGCCAAAACGTATATAAGGAACGTGGAATTGAATCGTGGCTATGTGCAGATTATTGTCGTCCCGAAGCACGCAGCCGTCGCCGAGCCCACTGGTGACGCTGTGCGGGGCGCCGCCCCCGTCCAGGAAGCGAGAGGAGCTGGCTGCTCTTGCTAACCTGAGAAAGAAAGTAGCGCCAGCATTGCTCAAGTCCGACAGGTATTATAATGTGGTGCTAACAACGATACAAACATAGGCATTTCGAAACCTTGGTATTATAGATTCTTTGATAGAGCGATCTTCAAAAAATTTCGTGAATAATCGCTTCTGTTAGGATTTATTTAGAAATTCCGAACAATACCGTACAATAATTAATGTCAAGCATAACTGATGATGGCTAGGTGGTACGATGACCTCTGAACGGTGGCCGGCAAGAAGTGGATTAGGAGAGCCGTAGACCGGGCTCAGTGGTGTGGATTGGGAGAGGCCTATGTCCAGCAGTGGACGACTGTGGGCTGTTGATGATGATGATGATGACTGATAAAAAGGCAGTAAATAGCTTATGATATATATTTATTTACATAAGGTCTAGTATATTATTTGTATTAACAATCCTCGGTATTCGTCGTTGATGACAACGAATCCACATGTCCTGGTGAAACTGGAAAGGCCTCCGGGCCACCAGTAAACCTTTAATCATAAAAAAACCACAATGAATTCTCTGTCAGCAAGAATGTTTCACCGAACCGTCAAAGTGTAGCCGTGATGTAGCTCGCATACCAGTTGCATCTTAAAAAATATAATTTACCTTTGCACCAAATATTTAAACCAGAATAAAAAAGGAAGTGTAGGAATACATTATTTTGCCCTCATGTTTCAAGATCGATTTTGGAATTAACGATGTGATTGATGCTTATGCCATTTTGACCCATATATTACAATCATCACATCACAACTCGCGTTGAGCAATTACTTAACTATAGTTACCAATTTGTAGTTCCGAAATGGCCCCGGAAATAAAGAAAAGCTCGGCTGTATGTAGTAAATTCCTGCAATTGAATAAGAATGGAGCCCTTGTTTCGATTTCGGGCCTTGAACCTAGATTGAAATGTTGCGGCATTGTATCTAAAAGGTCGCGGCACGCGCGCCGTTTTGCGAAAGGGTGAAATTCGCATTTTTAACACGCCTCCTGTAGACCTTTTTGTGATTACGTAATAGCAGAACTTAGGCAAATTAATTTCAGCCACATAAATTTGTTGTCATCATAAAAAAGGCTTAATGCATTAATCTAAGACATTAATTATTTGTTGTCAGTGACAGAAGCAAAGGCAAGAGACTAAACTGATTCTGATAGGTCTCTTGTCCTAGTCCTGGTAAAGTTCTAGTTAGATTTTTTGTATAACCGTATCAGGAAACATTGCATGCCTTCCACGAAATATCCTCGTTTTTATTCCATAATCTGGATACGTTCAGGATGAAGGATATTATGAATAAAGGAATTGCGCTATGACATGTCCTTCTTCAAACGAGGCTTGTGGAGAGTATTAAGCGGTAGGCAGCGGCTTGGCTCTGCCCTTGGCATTGCTGAAGTCCATGGGCGACGGTAACCACTCACCATCAGGTGGGCCGTATGCTCGGCTGCCTACAAGGGCAATAAAAAAAAAAAATTTTTTTTATGAATTATTGCCTATTCGCTTCCTGTATTGAAGCATTCAGTAAATTGTTGTTTTTTTTTTTAATGACTATGTAATTTCCAGAAACTGCAAGAACAACAATAACAATCAGAAAGCAGAGGCGACAGTAGTGCAACTCGACAACAGACCTAAATTACTGCAAAGGGTAAGTGAAAGTAGCAGCCTTTTTTTATACCTGAACTGAGGGCCTTGAGAGGCTTTTTCAGCGCGTAACCTTAACTAGTTGGTGAGCTCACGGGGCTCAAACCGGAGTGATGCTAACACTGGCCCTAGCAAGAGCATTGTTTCGCAGAATCTACCACTGGATCGGAAACGCGACCCACTGAGAAGATCCGGCGAAAAACTCAGTGGGCTAGCTGCCTAGTATCTCTTTTGTGGCCCTTACTATTTTCGAATCCGCAATTGGTATGAAGGTATATCGTATAGGTATAAAGCTATTCCACCCTTTAAATTTTACCATAAGTCTCGCTACAGAAACAGACATGATGATGGTACTCACTCAAGCAAGCTCACCATACGCACTTCCATCAAAGGTAATGTTTGAAAATTAATTATTGCTTAGGAGCGTGAACGATTTCACAGCCCACCTGGTGTTAAGTGGTTACTGGAGCCCATGGACATCTACAACGTTAGTGCGCCACCCACCTGAGATATAAGTTCTATTAGGATCTCAGTATAGTTACAACGGCTGCTCCACCCTTTAAACCGAAATGCATTACTGCTTCACGGCAGAAATAGGCAGGGCGGTGGTACGTATCCGTGCGAACTCACAAGACGTCCTACCACCAGTAAAACCACCAGTTTTTGTTGTCCCTTTGGATTTTTTCGGAGTGGAAGTCGTTCGTTCTCCCGTTTTAAATACACTAAGCTTTCCTGCGCCGTGCTCGAGTCGTGGTCGAGGCGATTGGCCAACCCCACGTGGGGGCTACGGACCGTCGAGGCGGTTTACCCGGTCTTTGATGACTGGGTGAATCGTGGCGAGGGACGTCTCACCTTTCGTCTGGTGCAGGTGCTGACCGGGCACGGATGCTTCGGGAAGTACCTGCGCCGGATAGGGGCTGAGCCGACGACGAGGTGTCACCATTGTGGACACGACCTGGACACGGCGGAGCATACGCTCGCTGTCTGCCCCGCTTGGGAGGTGCAGCGCCGTGTCCTGGTCGCAAAGATAGGACCTGACTTGTCGCTGCCTGGCGTCGTGGCGTCGATGCTTGGCAGCGATGAGTCATGGAAGGCTATGCTCGACTTCTGCGAGTGCACCATCTCGCAGAAGGAGGCGGCGGGGCGAGTGAGGGAAAGCTCTCCTCACTACGCAGAAACCCGCCGCCGCCGAGCAGGGGGTCGGGACCGGGGTCGTATCCGTGACCTGGCCCCCTAAGAGCTAGGGGTCCCACCCGTTTTGTGCGGGGAGGGACCNTGCGGTGCGGACATTGGCGATTTAAATCACATTATTCTTTCATGTCCCCTTTTTGATCATTCACTTCTTTATAGTTCTTTATCATCACTTAGTATTCCTTTTCCTATATCTGTACCTTATTTATTACATACAGTAGACCCAGTTATTTATAAAATTATTATCTTATTCCTCAACAGTTTTAACCTAAAATTATAATTATATATATTATTTATTCTTCCTAATTATATTAATCCTAATCCAATTTTCCTGCCTAAACCTTATCTAACTTATATTTTCTGATTTGATTTTTGCTTCCTAACCTTTATTTTGAAAGTGGCAAATAACACTTGGTGTTGGGTCCAAAAAAAAAAAAAAAAAAAAAAAAAAAAAAAATGAAATCCTCAAATATTCGCCTAATTACTATACAATTGAAACACACATCTAGAGTCTCAAGGTTTATTGTTTATTCACGTAGTGACGTCTATGGGCTCTGGTAACTACTTAAAACCGGGCAGGCCGTGAGATCGTTTAACTGCTTAACAAAATTATAAAATAAATAATCTTCTAAACAATATATAAACAACAAGAACTTTTTATTCTTTCATTTTGCAAATCTGCTGTAGGGCTCACTGAAACGTTACACTGGATGTGTAAAAGCGTTAATAATTTGCATGCCATACAATTATTAACGTTACATATGCCATCCTTTACTTCTCCTGAGTATTAAGTATTAACTATTATGTATTAATAAATATTTTTACTTATTACTACATTGACAATAATGCGTCATGTGTCCAGAGCATAGACCTATATAGTAGGGACACGACATATTGTTCTATACGTACAATTGCTTATATAAATAGCACCCATTTTGAAGGCACATACATAAACATATATCTATCTCGTTCTTACTCAGCACTTTAACTCGCAGGAAAACAATATAATAGTATTTCAGTGCGTACATAAAATGAAACATGATTATACGTAAATATCTCCGTCTCCGTCTAATGAGGCCGAAAATCCGCCATGTTTAGCGCGCCAAATGTCATTGTCACGTCAGTTCGGCCGTCTGTTTTGGGTTGTACATTATTTATTGACTTTGATATCGATTTAATATGATTGATTATATAAAATTTCATAATTTATCATGCTTAAAACATACAAAAATAATAATTAAAACGTATTTTATAGGATCTCAAGAAAGTCGATGCCCTAAAACTATTATCTATATGTATTTAAATTCATTATGGAGCCCTCATCCGAAAAATCCATTTTTCGGTCGGAATCTATTGATCNACCATTGTGGACACGACCTGGACACGGCGGAGCATACGCTCGCTGTCTGCCCCGCTTGGGAGGTGCAGCGCCGTGTCCTGGTCGCAAAGATAGGACCTGACTTGTCGCTGCCTGGCGTCGTGGCGTCGATGCTTGGCAGCGATGAGTCATGGAAGGCTATGCTCGACTTCTGCGAGTGCACCATCTCGCAGAAGGAGGCGGCGGGGCGAGTGAGGGAAAGCTCTCCTCACTACGCAGAAACCCGCCGCCGCCGAGCAGGGGGTCGGGACCGGGGTCGTATCCGTGACCTGGCCCCCTAAGAGCTAGGGGTCCCACCCGTTTTGTGCGGGGAGGGACCCAGACGAGGGGTGGCGTGCTCTGCACGCTCACCCGCAATAGGAAGCCGGGTGATGGTAGACCGCGTTCCCCCGACCGCTCTGGGGGAAGGTGTAACGCGGCGCCATCAAAGCGGGCTCTCGGCCCGCTGAACGAGGGAACCGGTGGTCGTTTCGCTGGCGGCCACCGGTCCGGCGTCCGTGGGACGGTGGGATGGATGTAATGTGCTCTGCGTCAACCCTGTCCCGCCGTTTCAATAGCCCCGACTGGGCTCCGGCCCGGTCCGAGGTAGGGCGCCGGTTGTGAGCGGCAGGAGTTTTTAGTGAGGTTCAACTCCCACATACCCCACCTGCCGCGCGGGTGGGGATCCGGCGATTTTCTCCTGTGGAAAAAAAAAAAAAAAAAGCTTTCCTGCGGGACTAAAGCTCCGGTACAGTCGCATCACTCGATCCCTCTTGCATTTGACCCATTAGGTAAAGCTGTTTCGATCATCCATGACGGTATTTTAAGACGAGAACTTGTGATTGGTCAGTGGTGAATAAAAAAAAACCTTTTTTTTTTTAATTTATGCTTTATTTCGATTAGCTTGTTGCAATACATTTATTTATCTTCTTCATGAAATTACGTAATCTGTCAATCGAAAACAAAATAGATTTCTTTACGAAAGTCGTAGAATTCGTTCGTAAAAACATGTAATTAATTTATTTATTAAACGGGATTGCCTACTTTACCTAAGATTGACTTGTGTAAGTAGCTTCAAATTTTCAAGACTTACCTATGTAATAGATCAATGAAATTCAGCACAATATTTATAAACATTAGGTACTAATGAAGAAAAATCTATAGAATGAATATATTTACTCCTTTTGAGGTATTTTTGTTCCAAATACATTAAGGCTCCGTTTTTCCTTACAAGAAGTCTCAAAGTTGTAACAAAAGGTTCAAAAACTCGTACTGATAGATAAGAAAAGCTCAATACTCTCCCTTAAATCCATATTCGTTGTTCGTACAAACGAAGCAGAAATGATTAGGGCAAAATGTGACGCCAAAGTACAAAGTGGGCAGAGACGGCCTGACAAAGGTCGCAGGAGGAAATAGTGTCGGACCCATCCGAATCGGTAGCTTTGGAAATGTTCGGCGGTCCACGTCAAAGGGTGAATGAAATACGAGTATGAATCTAATGATGTGTCACGGCCCATTCTATTTTTTGTTACGTGTAAAGTACTTAGGTATTATTTATATTCAATTCAAAAAATATTACTTTGTATATTTTGGTTAATTCTAATATTTGTGATTTTTTAAATTATGAAATGGTCTCCATGATAACTTGAAATTCGATCGCGATTCTGTGTTATTTTTAGATTCACGTAGCAGCGTCTACAGCAACTATAATAATTGTATCTTCAATTAGGTATTATACACACTTCAAAAGAATTCATGAATGAAATGGATATATACTAAAAATAATCTATACTAATCTGGCTGGTACTTTGCACAGAGAGTGAGTCTGGCTGTCCAACGAGGCAACGTAGCCAGTATCTTGGGGACTGTGCCTCCTTCAAGCGCGTTGGAAGATCTGTTCTACTGTGTGGGTTGAGTTATGTTAAATTATTTCGATGTGACTTTTTGTTAATAAAAAATAAATACGTAAAAAAATCTATACTAATATATAAATCTACATTGGTTTTTACGGATATTCCGTTATAACTACTGAACCATGCATCCTATTGACTTGAAACTTAGTATCCATGTAGAAAATACATGTACTTAATGGATAGGCTAGTGTTGGACTCCCTAATAATAATGACAAAAAATAATAAGATTAATTTTAAATGCGTATATACTTATGTAGGGATGTAAGAAGTAGATTCTTTGACGTAATTCAATGTACTACTTAGTTGTAGTAATCTATACTAATATTATAAAGCTGAAGAGTTTGTTTGTGATGGGTAGCTATTATAAAACGCAAGATATTTGACAGATGCCTGAATCTCGCTTACGACATTTTCAAGATAAGCTTGCGTATATACAAGTTCCGAACAAAAACATTCGGACCGTCGGTCTACCGAGCCATATCACCCGCTCGGTGGAAGATCTTCCCTTTGTCGTATATTTACAGTTTGTTTGAACGCGCTAAT